CTCCTTCAGATTCTCCCCATTCCCCTGCCCCTCCCGCTCATGTACTCTCTTTCTGTCTCTCAAATAAATACATAAATTTAAATATATATATATATTAACAATAAAGTGTTTGGGGGGGCGCCTGGCTGGCTCAGTCAGTGGAGCACGTGACTCTTGATCTCGGAGTTGTGAGTTTGAACCCCGCGTTGGGTGTGGAGATTACTTAAAAAGAAAAATCTTTTTTTTAATGTGTTTTTTTTTTTTTAAGATTTTATTTATTTATTTGAGAGAGAGAGAATGAGAGAGAGAGAGTACATGAGAGGGGGGAAGGTCAGAGGGAGAAGCAGACTCCCTGCCGAGCCGGGAGCCCAACGCGGGACTCGATCCCGGGACTCCAGGATCATGACCTGAGCCGAAGGCAGTCGCTCAACCAACTGAGCCACCCAGGCGCCCTAATGTGTTTTTTAGTTAAGGGATAGATACTGTCTTTTTAGACATAATGCTGTTGCACACTTAATAGCCTACAGCATAGTGTGAACATAACTTTTACAGGCACTGGGAAACCAGAAAATTCCTATGACCTGCTTTATTGCGGTGGGTCTGGAACTGAGGCTGCGATATCTCCGAGATACGTAAGTGGGATCCTGATACCTGTCACTCAGGCTTAGTCGTCCTTAGTGCTCACAGAGACCACTCTTCAAGACACCAAGACAAAATAGGCTTTAAAGAATAATCATCATGAGAACAGGCGGCTGTCTGTGTTGCTGAGAACAGCGTGTGTTTTTTCCCCCCTCGGGCAAAGAACTTTTTTTCATTTTTTCTGCTTGCTGCTTATTTTTTTTCCCTGCCTCTTCCCTGGGTCCCCTTGCAGAAATGGCTCTGTGGCATATAGTCTCTGCGGCGGGCCCGGTGCGCGCCGATCGATGGCCCCTCTCAGCAGTGGGCAGACGGTGCTAATTAGGCTCTGAAGCCACTTTTCATGGGGGTGCAGACAGCGCTAGGCGGCCACGTGCCGAACCCCGCGCCTTGGCCCGGATCCCAGCACCGCGCCACTGCCCATCCATCCCATGGCTGCCGGCGTTCAGAAAACACAACAGCAGGATGAATACATGTTCCTGTCGCTCTCAGAGCCAAGGGCAGAGCGACTGTCTCACGCTGGGTTCTGCTCCTGCAGAAAGATGGCTCTGCCTCGCGGGGTTTATTCATTTGTTTGATAACTTTACTGAGCTGGGACTCACATACCGTATGATTCCCCCAGTTAAGTGTGCCATGCAGTGGCTTTTCGTAGAGCCACAATCCCCATGATTGGCAGTAGCACCCCAAGAGAAACCTTATACCCACTAGCCATCACCCCCCATTCCCCCCGCCAGTCCTACACGACTGCCTTCTGTCTCCTTGGATTTGCCTGTTGTGCCCATTTCCTAGAGGCGGGCTCCTACAATCTGTGGTCTTTTGTGTCAGCCCTCTGCCACGCAGCAGATTTTCTAGGTTCGTCCACATGATAGCCTGAATCAGGGCTTCCTTCCTTTTATGGCCGAATAATAGTCTGTTGTATGAACAGACCACATTGTGTTTCTCTGTCCTTCGGTTGGCAGACGTCTGGGGTCGCTTCCATGTTGGGCTGTTGTGAATTATGCTACTGGGACCATGTATGTCCAGGTATTTGTGTGGCAATATCTTATCGCTTCTCTTGGGCATATCCCCAGGAGTGGAACCACTGGAGCGTAGGGTGACTCTGCTTAACCGTTTGAAGAACCACCAGTTTTCCAGAGTGCTATGCCATTGCCATTGTGCCTTCCCACCAGCCGTCCCACGATTTCCCTGTGTCTAGATGTAGGAAAATTGCCCCCGGAGGATGTTCGAGGCTCCCCAGCCCTGGCAGGCAGACCTCTAGACCCCTGGGTGCCTCGTGTTTGAGGGTATCCAGGATTTGCTTTAGCCAGGTATGGTAAACCGTGCCGGTATGCATATGACTGCCAGGAGAGGAAAAGTTTGTACTCACAGTCCCCTCGGAGGGGGAGGCAGGGCACACCACGGAGGGCCACAGGGGGAGGCCCTGGAGTCAGTCAGGAGCCAGAGGGCATGATGGGAAAACGTGGGCAAGAGCCTTTGCTGTGGTTTCTGTGGCGAGGAACGGGTGGGGCAGAGTAAACAGGCTTAGGACTGGCTAGTTTGAAAAATCTCAGTGGGCTCTGGGGCGTAGGGGCTGTCCCTAGTTGCCCAGCACCTGCCCCCGGGGGTGATCAGAGCAAGGGGACGGTGGCCCTGAGTGCGAGAGCCCCACAGAGGAGGGGTTCGGAGTGTGGGCTCTGGATTGGTGGGTTTGCATGTGAAAGGCGCTCTGGCAAGTGAGTCCTTCCTGAGCTCTAGGAACCCGCCAGCCCTGGGAGGGGCAGGCTCTCCTGGGTCAGCAAGGGCCCAGATGTCAGATCATCAAAAATAGAGAATGGAAAGACATGGTTGAAACGGCTGGTCTGTGCCAGAGCCACCACCTTGTGTCCTGATCAGCCAGTTACTTCCGTGGCTGCACAAGTTACAGAAAGACTCAGTTAGTGGTTGTCCACCCCTTACTTAAAAAGTCTTAAGTAGTTTGAGAAGAGCAGTGGTGGCTAGACCCTCCAGGGGAAAAAAAACGATTTTTCCCAGGAGGCCATACGGCTGCCAAATGAACGACATTATGTTTACCTGTAAGAAGCCCCCCCCAGCTCGGATCCTTTTGGGGCATATGTGTGTAATAAGTCATAAAGCAATACAAAGAATATCAGTGCTCTAAAGAAATACCGTATGTATTTGAGCAAACAAGGGCGTTCTAAAACATCATGATAATTTCTCACTTGACACCTTTCTTGTATACAGTGAGTCCTCCTTTATTCGCGGATTCTGTATTTGCAAGCGTACCTACTCACTAAAATTTATCTGTGACCCCAAATCCACATCTGTGGGGCCTTCACAGTCCTGTGCAGGCATGTGCAGTGAAAAACATGAGTCACCCGACATGCATGTTGCCAACTGAGGCCAGACAAGGTCACACCCTGCCTTCTTGTTCCAGCTCGTACTGTAGACAAGTGTCCTGTTTGCAGTGTGGTTAATGCCATGTTCTTCACATTTTTGTGCTCCCCGTGGGTGATTGGGCTGCTTGAAATGGCCCCCAAGCATTGTGCTGAAGGGCCGTCTCTGGCATTACTAAGTGCAAGAAGGCTGTGAAGCCTGGGACAGAGAAAATCCACGTGTTAGATGTGCTCCATTCAGGCCTGTGTTGTAGTCCTAGTGACCGTGAGTTCAATGGTAATAGATCAGTAGTATATATTAAATAAGGTGTCTTTCAAGAGAAACACACGTAAAACAAGGTTACGTACGGATGGGTTGATGGAAGTGTAGGCAGAAGCTCCCAGGAGCACAGCTTTGGGTCTCCACTAGGAGCAGTGATTCGGCACTGGCTAATTTCAGTATCCACTGCAACTTTACAGAACATCGTGACAGTGAATACTGAGAATCAGCTGCAGCTTTTCATTTTGAAATTGTTTAAGATTCACAAGAAGTTGGGAGGCCCCGACTGGGGGTGGCTCAGTCAGTGAAGCGTCTGCCTTTGGCTCAGGTCATGATCCAGGGTCCTGGGATCGAGCCCCGCATCAGGCTCCCTGCTCCGAGGGGGAGCCTGCTTCTCCCTCTCCCTCTGCCTGCTGCGCCCCCACTTGTGCTCTCTCTCTCTCTCTCAAATAAATAAAGAAGATCTTAAAAAACAAAACAACAACAACAACAAAACCTCTCAGAATGTTGAATCGCACTCCCCAGAAAAGCTCTTGAGAGAAGTACATTCATTTTCCTCTAGTGCTGGTTCCCTACCGCCCCTCCAAAGGTGATGGTCTGCATGCTGCTGAGAACCACAGTCCCCGCTACTTTACCTGTGTGACAGAAACCCATGGGTGGGTGCACTGGGGACCCAGGAGCCAGGTCGGAAAGGCTAGTGGACAGATCTCATCCTAACGCTGCTGGTTATCCTTGCCTGGAGGAGCGCTTTCGAGTGTGGTTTTCACCCTGAGAATGAGCGAGCCAAGCAGCCTGTCCCAACCAGACTCAATTTGTCAAATCAGAGAGGGTGACAGTTGGGCTTTCTGAGTTTCATCTTTCCATCAGAGGGGAAGGTGATCAGAGCGTACACACGTCCTACTGTCTCAGTTCCTACCTTAATGAGCGGAGGAGTGTGAAGAGCCTTTTGGAGCCCCCGATGTGTGTTAGGTTGGCTTACAATCCTTGTATAAAATAGGATCAGCCCCTCTTGTCCACTGTGGTGCTCAGATTCTATTAGTGTATTTAGGATCGGGGGCGTGTGTGGCTGTACATCATGCCCCTGTGGTCTCTGGGTCTCAGAGTCATCCTAACATCTGATCTCAGGTTAATTACAGTCGTGTGTGTGTGTGTGTGTGTGTGTGTGTGTGTGTGTGTGTGTGTGGTGTCGGCATGAGCCACACCAAGCGCAGTGCTCCCTATTTAGTGATCTTAGATTATTTACAGTGAATCTAAACTTCTGCTTTCTTACCCCCTGCCAAGATGGACAGGGTGTCGGGATTTTTTTTGTTGTTATTTTACCAAAGAAGATACTGTGCGATTTCCAACTAAATGGTCACAGTGGGGACCAATTTCCTGCCCTCCAGACCCACTGTCTCAGCCAATACAGTAGGAGAAGACGCAGCTTTACATTTCTAGAAGGATCACATGGAGGTATAAAAACGGCACAGCCCGGCCTCACACCGCGCTGGGTCTCAGAGCTGCGATCGTGAACATGGGGAACGCGCATTCCAAAAGCAGTGACAGAGACGGCACACTCCCTGGCCACCCTGAGCTGTCTTTCTGCAGCTCTTTTCCTCGGAAATGGAGCGAGAATGTCTTTCTAGATAACGAGCTGCTGACCTCCAAGATCTTGTCCGTGCTGCGGCCGCAGTCGGAACGGGGCTTTCGGACCGGCCACCTCCGCTACCCTGCCCACTTTCTCAGCACCAATTCTGTGTTTGCCTCTGTCGCAGCGTCCCTGAAGGAGCACCCGAGGGCCACCCTCTTGTCTGATGGCAGCCCGGCCCTGTCCAGGAATGTCGGCATGATGGTCTCACAGAAGGGGGGGCCGCAGCCAGCACCCAGCCCAGTGGGAACGGGGACACAGCTTGGGTAAGTGGGGGCCTGGCCCTACGCCAGGTGCCCGTGGAGGGAGGGAGGAGCGGGATGTGGCGTTCCACTGGGACCCCGCAGCCGGGCTCCCCGAAGGGAGACCCTCAGGTCCGTGTGAACCTGCTCGTTGGCCCCCAGCCACGCTGTCAGATTCCTATTAACACTTGCTTCGGAGATTCGATCCTCTTCTTTAGTGAAACCCCGTGTGTTCTGGGCGTACTTGGCCATTGGGAGCCAGTTTGTTTCATACTCTCGAAGGGCCCTTGGACAGGGTTCCTGTCTGTGCTGGAGATGATGCTAGAAGTCCCGCTGAGGTTGCCATGGAGGTAGCATCCCGTTATTTATGCCTTACCCTTGTCCTGTAAGGACTTGGAGGTAGTTCCCTTAACCCTCTACTCAGCAGTGTTCAGGTGGAAACCCTAACGCTAACGAATGTCCTTGTGGCGGTCCTTGTACGGGTTGGTGGGGAAAGGGGCTGGTTATCTTCTTCCACTAAGAAAGGGCTCTCCCTCCACCCTCGACTAAGTGTGGCTGTGTCCACCCAACACTTGCTAGAAAGTAGTCCAGGGGCTCCGGTGGGCTCTGATGGCCGTTAAAGGAAGCATACGATTTAACGCACCCTTAGAACGTGCCTGGGCATTGGATTGAAGTTAGTTATGATGGAGGAAGTCCTGATGTGATGTGGATGGATAGTCTCCTAATTTTTACAAATGACCTGTGACAGAGTTTATATTAAAATCCAGAAAGTTCTCAGATAGACTTGCCTTCATAGAATGTGTGTCTTTAACTAAGTTTTTTAGAATAATTGTTTTTATGATTCTTATTTAGACCAGTCACAGGAGAGATGGATGAAGCCGACTCTGTATTTTTAAAATCTAAGCAGGCAGCTGATGACTCTCTCTCGCTTACGTCTTCGAATGCCGAGCCCATTTTTGTAGAAGGTACAGTCCCCTCGATTCTCTCACGGATGTCCCTCGGTCTCCACCCACACTGGGAAGGGCTGGGACCCACGTCCATGTGTCCGTGGGATGCCGGCTGGGGCGGCCCAGAGCCAGCAAGGCTCCGGCCCCAAGCAGCGACCTCTTACGCCCCCCTCAGACCCCTGCACAGCCTTGCTGAGGAGTGAGATCGAGGCGGACGCCCGCGATTTTGAGGCTGAGTCCTGGAGCCTTTCCGTGGACGCGGCATACTCAAAGAAACAAAAGAAAGAGGTGGTAAAGAGGCAGGATGTGCTCTATGGTAAGAAGTTCTGTGCCGTCACACTGACCTTCCACTTGCTGCTTTTCTGCCTTTGTTCTGATGGGTTGCACCTAGGAGTCTGGGCTCCACGGAGACCTCAGGCTCCCCGCTGGGGCTATGGGGCCCACTCTGCCTCCTCCCCAGAGCAGCCCTGCCTTCCCAGTGAGGGAAGAGGTGGCCTGGGAGGGCCTTGTGAGAACCCGTCCCTGAGGACGAGTGTGGCTGAGCGCCCAGTCCTGACTCATCCTGGCCCTGCTGGTGACCCGAGAGAGAAGACTATCCTGGGCCCATCCCAGCCATCCGTGGTGACCACAGACAGGCCTGGGGTGGCTGTGACTAGGGGGCCTGGGGGACATACGACAAAGCACTGGCTCCAGGGTGGACGCCCTGGCCGTGGGCAGCCATTCTCCTCAGATGGGAGGTTACAGGTCATTGTGCAAACCATAGCTTTCAGACACAGAGCCCATCCTCGGGCCAGGTGCCCTGTTGCAGGCCCCATGTATGTCCCTCCAGGCCTCTGGACCCCCATAAACAGGATGACAAAGGCCCAAGACACCCTCCCTGGAATCTGAGGCCTTTCTCTCCAGAAAGCCCTTACTTGTTCTTATGATTCTCTCTCCGTGGGAATCATTCCCCAAGACTGACAGTGTTGTGTCGCCCAAGGAGATATTTTCTGTCCCTCATCAGTGCTCCGTGAAAAGGTTCTGGCATATCAGTGTCTTCACTTTCTACTGGGGTCCACTGACCCCTGCGTCCCTCCACGTTTCACACCCTGAGCTTTCTGCCCGGGCTGGAGTAGATTGGGGTGTGGGCAGGAGGAGAACCCTATGGGATGCTTCGCCTCAGGGCTCCAGACCCAGGGCAGAGATCCTACAGGGAGGGACGGAGACAACCGGGCTGGATGCTTTCATCCGGGCAGCCCTTTGCCAGGTTGTCTCACCCTCTGGGCAAACACAGGCTGTGTCCGCCCCCACGGCTGGCGGCCCCAGGCTAGGCTCTGCTGACCTGTGTCTCTGATCTCTAGCCGTTTCCGGGCCTTGATTTGAACGACTGCTAAACTCCAACACGAAACCTGATCTGTCTTTGCCTTTTACCAGAGAATTAAATTCTTCACTTGAACTCTGCTTTTTCATTGGTTATAGTCCAGGTCTGGTCACTGGCCTGCACAGGTGTGTGAGTTTCACATCCCAAGGAGTGGTGTTCACCAGAACAATCTTCCTGCTTAAAACAGCCTCAAAATGTCTTCAGGCCTGAAATCCTCTTGTGAATGGGAGGGTCCCAGGACACATCCGGAGTCCTCTCTTTCCTGACGTCACTCCGGCCCTTGCTGCTCCCTTACACTGGGGCCCCTGCGGCACTGGGCCCCGGGGGATGGGAGGCCCGCCCCCCAGGCAGTGAGACCACCAGGGGGAGGGCCTCGGTGGGGAACTGGGAGAAGCCAGTCAGGCACCCGGTGGGCAGGCGGTACGCATGCGTGCCATCACGGGCCGCAGGAGGAGCGAAGCGGGTCAGTCCTTTGGTCCATGTTCCCACAGAGCTGGTGCAGACGGAGGTACACCACGTCCGGACACTCAAGATCATGCTGAAGGTCTACTCCAGGGCCCTGCAGGATGAGCTTCAGTTCAGCAGTAAGGCCATCGGCCGCCTCTTCCCGTGTGTGGATGAGCTGCTCGACATGCACAGCCACTTCCTCTCTCGGCTGAAGGAGCGCCGCCAGGAGTCCCTGGAGGAGGGTAGTGACCGCAATTACATCATCCAGAAAATCGGGGACCTCTTGGTACAGCAGGTGGGCATGCTGGGACGGGCACAGAGCCTGGGTGAGCCCCTGCCTCGTCTCTGTTCCATGCAGTGGTGAAAAGAACATGGCCCCTGTTTATTGAGAGCCTACAGCAGACAGCGGTCCCGGGCCTTTTCAGAAACACAGAGGCCTAAGTGCCGAACGCACCTGTGCAGACACTGTCCACCGTCGCATTCTGGGCTTTTCTTTGCTTGCTCGGCTGGGCTCTTTGTTTTTGTTTTTCTGGTTTGACCTCCGTGTTTTTGGCTGTTAGAAGCAGGCCTGTGGTAAAGGGTGCCAACCCTGAATTGACTTCTGAGTCGAATTCCGAGCCTAGGCCAAGGTTGACAGAGGGGGCCCAGAACTCCTTGTCGGACCTCAGAGTGTTCCAGGCATCCAGAGTCAGCTCATTAGAGTTAATTAAAAGAATGCCCCATCTGCCTTTTTTTTTTTTTTTTTTTAGATTTTATTTATTTATTTGAGCGAGGGAGAGAACGCACTACCGGGGAGGGGCAGAGGGAGAGGGAGAAGCAGACTCCCCGCTGAGCAATGAGCCCCATGCGGGGCTCGATCCCAGGACATGGGATCATGACCTGAGCCGAAGGCAGACGCTTCACCAACAGAGCCACCCAGGGGCCCAGCTTTTAAATGTTTCTGACATTCTTCAGCATAAGTGTTCTCCTCCTTCTTGGACTGCAGGAAGTTTTACAGCTAAAGCCCATTAGAAAGTTTTCTCCTCTTGCCTTGTTGTACCTTGTGACAAGACCCCCTCCCCCCGCCCACTCACCCAGAACTGAAGCATTCCCCTGCCTGAGTGCTTGTCAGATAAGAAAGTGGAGGCACAAGTTTATTTGAGATGTATTTTAGCAGAGTCAGCTGAGCCAGACGAGCGCACTCCCTGGCAGTTCTCCTGTTCCTTCCCACTAACATCCCGGTTGTCTTTCTGTAGTTCTCCGGCGAAAATGGGGACAGAATGAAAGAAAAATACGGTGTCTTTTGTAGTGGCCACAATGAGGCCGTCGGCCATTACAAGTTGCTGCTCCAGCAAAACAAGAAATTTCAAAGCCTGATCAAGGTAAAAAAAAAAAAAAAAAAAAAATTTCTTAATTAAAAAATGTATCCTCTTTGCTGGAGGTTGTTTTCCACAGGACTGTAGACTCTGGGAGAGCTTAAGATTGCAAGGTACCTGTTATAAACCAGCGATTTTCAAGTTTTTGTTTCCTTCTTCCACTACAAACTTGTTCAGAACACATCCGGGAAGTCCAGATGTAGAACAAAGCAAAACACACCTTCGTTCGCGGCCGCACCAGCAGGCCCGAGCATGGAACCTGCTGGCCCTCATTCCTCAGACTGCCAAGGGGACACAGTTGTCGTTTCAAGGGGCCACCTGCCCTGGGATCTGCCCCTCCCTCGCCTCTTTCCCACTCTGGTCCCCACTTGTCCCCCGACCCCATCCTCCCGGGCCTGCGAAATAACCCACACCTGCCTTCTGCCTAACAGTGTGCAGGTGCTCAAAGCCCAGGCCCAAAAACGCAGCATCCAGCCTGAGTCCACCAGGTTGGGCAAGGCCCTGCCTCCGGCATCCTTGAAAGCATACCTGGGTCAAGGCCACTTGGCTGTCGGCATGCATCCTGAAGCCACTCCGTCACCTGCTGCTTGGCCCTCAGGGACTTTAATTTGAAGTGATAGCCAATAACTAACAGTTTAGAGTTAAGAAGGACAGGTTTTCAAATTCTGCTCCCTTACTGCTGCAGTGGGTAGACATAAAAGGGAGAGGGTCGGTCTGGGGTTGGCCCTGGAAGCTTGCAAACTCCGCAGTACTCTTCTGGTCCTGCTCAGAAGCGGCTCTCACAATTGTTGGCATTCCTGGAGTGTGTGAGTGCAGGGGGAGCAGGGAAGCGGAATGTGTGGAATGCTCTGGAGGGTACTGGAAACCGCTCTCCGCCCTGCTGAGAGAAGGCTTTGGAGGACGGCCTTCTGGGTCCTTAGCCAGAGGTGTGCATCGGGAGCCAGCAGGGGGCTGACTCAGGACAGGCTCGTTCCAGAGGGTTCTGACAGCCATCAGTCAAGGTCTTCGTGTGTGGATATGCGTGTGTGGGGGTGTGTGCACGCGCCCACGATACACAGCTCTCAGGTGATTCCCTCCCACCTCCCTGGCTGGTTCTGGTTTCTTAACAGGTTTTACGGCGGGGCGGGGGGGTGGGGGCTGCCTTTACTTCTGTGGCCTTTCTACATACGGCAGGCAAGGCCCTACTTCCACTGCATGCTTGAAAAGGTCCTGCTGAGCTGAGAAAGGGAGAAGGCTCTAGCCGAGTTGGCACAAGCTAAGATGCCAACAGGGCATTTTGTTTTCCACGTCATAGAAAATTGGCAACTTCTCCATCGTGAGGCGGCTTGGCGTGCAGGAGTGTATCCTTCTGGTCACTCAGCGCATAACCAAGTACCCCGTGCTGGTGGAGCGCATTATTCAGAACACAGAAGGTAAAGTAGCTTTCCTCGCTGCCTTGCCCGTCGGTTGCTGCTTTGAGGGGCGATCTCCGTCTTTCTGCCCTGTTCTGCCAGTGGATTGGATAAGCGCCTCTCTGTGCTTCGTCCCTGGTTGTCTGGATTCATGCTTAAGTGCTGGGGTCTCCGACCCAAGAAGGATGGGGTGCCAGGTCTTATTTGCCCGCTATTACCCCGCAGGCAGGGCCGAAGAAGGCCCTGGGTCATTATCGGGCGAGTAGATTAATGTTGATCCAGACACAGAGATGGCCTTTGTGTCGCGTGCCTGGAACCTGGAGGGTGGAGGAAACAGGGCATACAGCGCAGCCTAGAGTTCTCAGAGGCCAGGGCCTGACCACACCTGACCGTACCTCTGCCACCTCCAGGAGATTCAGGCCCTGGGAGGAGGAGGGAGTGTTTTATGCAGAGCAGGGCTATGCAGGCCTCTCATTGCGTTCAGTGGAAGCTCTGTCTTGGCAAAAACCAAAGGCCGGGTTGCCGCATTTCATTTGGAGAAGCATTTACATCTCCGGAGATCTGAGTTGGGAGGTGGATTCTTGAGGGCCCTCTGCGCAGTGGCTTCAGGGAACAGCGCTCCTAGGCCCCGGCCCGTGCCCCCTTGCGCCGGGTTGGTGGAAGGGGCGAAGGAAAGCGCTGAGTCTGCTGTGTGTGGCAGCCGGCACCGAGGACTACAGAGACCTGACCCAGGCCCTGAACCTCATCAAGGACATCATCTCCCAAGTGGACGCCAAGGTCAGCGAGTCCGAGAAGGGCCAGCGCCTCCGGGAGATCGCGGGGAAGATGGACTTAAAGTCCTCCAGCAAGCTCAAGAACGGGCTGACCTTCCGCAAAGAGGACATGCTGCAGCGACGACTCCACCTGGAGGGCACGCTGTGCTGGAAGACCGCGTCGGGGCGCCTGAAAGGTAAGGGCCTGTCCCTCGCCTCTGCTGGGGGGGGGGGGCCCTCCCGGATCAGCGGCACCATTCTGCATGAGCGGGTGCCGGCCTGGCTGCGCCGGGGCCGAAGGCGGGTTGCACGCCGAGTCAGAATGAGACAGGCAGGCAGGGGTGTTGGAGAAATGAGACAGCACCCCCTTTCTCGGGCTTTGAGGTGCTGTGGCACCCACCAGGAGGGCCACTAGGTCACACTGATCCCTTGACTCCTGAGCAGAAACCCCAGGCATCGGGACACCCCGGGTTTGTCAGAGGCCCCGGGATGCCAAACAAGCAGCCGCTGAAGGGCCCCCGTGTGGGTAGACGCACCGCCCGGACCGCTGACCTCAGTGTCCCCAAACATCCCACTCACTGCGCAGGGTGTCCTTCGGGCCCCACCTCCAAAATCCAGGGTGTACTTCCAGACCAGAGAGCACTCGGGACTCAACCCTGAGTTTCCTGGATCATTTCATGAGCTTCTGGAAACATCCTCACCTGTCCGTTAACATCAGCATCTTTTTCTTTTAATAATTTTTAAAAGATTTTATTTATTTACTTGAGAGACAGAGACAGAGAGGGTGAGAGCGCACCAGTGGGGTGAGGGCAGAGGGAGAAGCAGACTCCCCGCTGAGCAAGGGAGCCTGATGCAGGAATTGAACCCAGCACCCTGGGATCATGACCGAGCTGAAGGCAGACGCTGCACTGACTGAGCCACCCAGGCGCCCCAACATCCACATCTTGAAAGCTCTTTAGGGGAGTGCCGGAGATGGCCAATGACCAAATATGTTTGTCCGGAATTTGCACAGGCGAGCATCTAGCGGACGACTTAGCTCCTCCTGTGTGCTGGCCCCCGAGGTGGGTGGTAAGAGGCCCCTGTCCTCAGGGTGCTTTAGTCGGTGCCCCAAAAGGGAGAACTAAGGAAACAAACAGAAACAAGTGAAAAGTGCAATAAATGCTTCAGAGGAAGCCACCGGGCCACAGTCGAGGGGATTCCGCAGGGAGAGGCCGTCTGCCCTGGAGAGGGCGGTGCTCACGCTTCCCGAGACGCAGAGGGACGTTCACTTTGGGATTTGCACCTGTGTGCCAGAGCCCTGCTGAGAGCTTCCTGCAGGGACAAGGCACCGAGCCTGCTGTTACCAGGGATCTCGCAGCGCGAGGGGCCTGAGGCCGGCTGCGGGCGACCGGAGGCTCGGGGGGCAGCCGACCTGGGAGCGGGAGGAACGGAGGGGCAATTCACATTTGAGAAATCAGCAGAATCTCAAAGAGCAGACCTGCAGGTGCCACGACAGCGGGGATGGGACGGCAGGTGCCAAGGCTGGGCAGCAGCCCAGGAACCTGCAAGAGGGGACTCCAGCCTCTGGCTTGTGTTAAATGTTGAAACCCAGGAGGTGATAGAAAACAGTGAGGTGGGGGCGCCTGGGTGGCTCAGTTGGTTGAGCGACTGCCTTCGGCTCAGGTCATGATCCTGGAGTCCCGGGATCGAGTCCCGCGTCGGGCTCCCTGCTCGGCGGGGGGTCTGCTTCTCCCTCTGACCCTCTTCCCTCGCGTGCTCTCTCTCTCTCTTTCTCTCGAATAAAAAGTAAAAAAAAAAAAGTGAGGTGGACGGAAACCCTCAGGCCCCCACAGGAGCCTCCCGGCACCGCGCTGGGTGACCAGGACCCCTCCCCCGGGGCCGAAGCCTCCCCGGGACGCATCCGTGTCTGCCTGGCAGGACCCGTGTGTCCCTGCGACCTCCTGAGACATTTTCTTCTGTGCTTTCTCCTTAGATGTCCTTGCTGTCCTGCTGACTGATGTGCTCTTGCTGCTACAAGAAAAGGATCAAAAATATGTCTTTGCCTCTGTGGTAGGTGTCCTGTCTCTTCGGACGAAGGGTCCTGCCTGCCTTAGGGACCCTTAGGGGCTTGCTGCCCAGGGCCCAGAAGGTTCCGGCAAGGCAGGAGTCGAATTTTCCGAGACCCGGGGGTCCTGTCTGGTTGCCTGGGGAGGCTTCGGGGGCTCGTGCTAACATCCTGTCCAGTCTCAGCCTTTACGTTTCTGTGGCTCTCCCTCTCTCGGGGCTCAGGGTCTTGGGGGCTCCAGCTAACTCCCTGTCCTGCCTCCTCTCCTGAGTAGGACACTAGTCATACTGAACTGGGCCCAGTATGGCTAATGACTTCATTTTGCCTTAATCACCTCTGTGAAGGCCCCATCTCTAAATAATCACAAAAGGGTCTTTTCCCGCCTAGATGGCAAATATCTCTGCTCTGAATTATTGGAGAACAAAGGGGGCACACGTGTCCCCTACCACCCCCTTCCCCTCAGACTCTCAGTTCCACAGCTGCTCAGATGCATCCGGGTGAAACGGGTCCTCCCCCACCTCGCCTTCCACCCACACAGGACTCGAAGCGCCCGGTCATCTCGTTACAAAAGCTCATTGTGAGGGAGGTGGCCAACGAGGAGAAAGCCATGTTTCTGATCAGTGCCTCCCTGCAAGGGCCCGAGATGTACGAGATCTATACCAGCTCCAAAGAGGAGAGGAACACTTGGATGGCCCACATCAGAAGGGCCGTCGAGAGGTGAGAAGGGCCCGTGTGGACGTTCCCTCCCCCCCAGCTGTTTTGCTCTCGGCTTTGACAGTGGGCAAAGCAGCTGTGACCTTGAAGTACCCAAGCGAGTGCTGGAGGTCACAGGCAGGCAGGACACCCCTCTGCTGTTCCTCTCCCTCATTCCGCCTTGGTGCCTTGCCCATCCCGCTCAGCTAAAGGGGCCGCGCGGCCCCATTGCGGCTCCTTCCGGCAACAGCCCAACCCTGTCAGATGCTAAAAAGGCCCAGATGTTGCTCGCCAGTGGGCGTGGGGCCAGGCTGTTCTGCGCTTCTGTACTGGGGGGTACAGTGAGGGCCCCCTGAGCCGGGGGCCGGACCTGTTGGAGGAGGTTGTGGCGTCCTGTTCTCCTTCCTCGGGCCGCGGGACCCCCGGGGACCCCAGCCAGCCTGATGCTCCCTCTCTTTATGCCTGGAAGCTTCCCGAACCTGCTCAGGGCTCCCTCGATACTCAGTCCTGCGGGTCCCCAGGAAATGAGCTGTCCTCCGTCCCCTCCCCCACATGGCGGCCAGGCTCGGAACCTGCGGCTGGTGACGGGTGGACACTTGAAGACAGGAAAATGCCCATGGCTGCCTCCCTCTTCCCCCTCGTGTTTCTCCCGTGCCATTAACGAGCTCAGTCGCCCACGGGACGAGACGCTCTGAGCAGCTGCTTCTGCCAACAAAGCTCTCAGCGCCCATCGCCGAGGCCACCTGCCCGTGAAGGGTTGTTGCCCACCTGCCCCCTCTCCCTGCAGCTGTCCGGACGAGGAGGAGGGGCCCTTCAGCGAGGCCGAAGAGGAGAAGAAGGTGTTCGAGGCCCGCGCCCTGAGGCTGAGGGACTTCCAAGGTGAGGGGAGTCCGTCTGGACCTCGGTGCCCACAGCATGTCCCCCGTATGGTGAGAAGGCCCTGGGAGACGGCCAGCGACATTTCTGTCCTGTCCCGTTGGGGTTGGCCACGGAGCAAAGCTCCACCCGAGCACCAGGCGTTTTGCTGTAGGCTGTGTCATGTCCTGCCGCCCTGCGGAACCTTTGCCGTTAGGCTTTGTCACGCGATGGCACGCTCGGGGCCCCTGAGCCATTTCCAGACGCTCTGGCTTTGCCACACACCCTGCCCCCTCCCTCGGTCCCTGTGCAGGAAGGAGCTCGCCGTAGGTGTCCAGGGTCACAAACGTGAAAACCCCAAGGGGACTTGGAATAGCACAGAACCCCACAGTCTCCCTCCAGAGCCTGGCAGACCCAGACCAGCCCTGGCTTTTTGGCTGCGGACCTCAGCTTCCTCCTGCCTGTTTTAGTGTTTTTTAACTACTTTATTTAGCTGTAATTCGGACACGATACAGTTCAGCACCGTTGTAAAGTGCACCATTCGGTGGCTTGTAGTCTGCGTCACAAGACTGTGCAACTTGTCGCAATCTTAGATCACTTTCATCACTACAGAAAGAAACCCCATCCCCGTTAGCTGTCACTCCCTGTTCCTTCCTCCCTCAGCCCCTCGTAACCTCTGTTCTAGTTTCAGTTTCTATGAATTTGCCTGCTCTAGGGATCTTGTATAAATGGAGTCTTGCAGTGTCCCTCCTCTCGTGTCTGGCTGATTTCACCGAGCCGGGTGGTTCAAGGTTCGGCCACATTGTAGTGTGTGCGGATTTCCTTCCCTTTTAAGGCCCAATACTGTTGCATTGTAAGATGCACCCCCTGGGCTTACCCGTACGTTCCCCTCCCCGGTTTAAGAGATGCCTGTGAGAATCCAGTGAGGTCACTGGCAAGAACAATCCTGGGGACTCTGTGGTCTCAATCAGCCTCTCCCTCTTCCCCCTCACTCGCCGAGTCATTTATTTTTCAGTTAGGGCGCATTTAGGCCATAAGGACATAAAATTAGGTAGTATATATTTTATTTCTCTTTGTGGGGAGAGGTGTATGTTTGAGGTTATTCATCAATAGAAATGTCCAAAAGAAAGCGGGTGGGAGGGACCTCCCACCGACCCCGGAAGCACAACGCTAATGCAGTGTTCATTCAGACTCTTTATTTTCTGCCCGGTGGTAATAAAACGCGTGCCCTGCATAGTTATGTCTCCGAGGGTGCCACAGTATCTATTCCTCACTCATTCCTGACAGGATTCTTCCTGTTAGAAATAGATACTTTCTCTATGGAGAGAGTCTCTCCCATCGTGGATGAAAAGCTGGTCTCATCCTTCACACTGGACCATCAGGGACGCTCACCAAAATCCGGAGCCAGGCCGGGCCTGCCCCTCCCGCCATACTCCCTGCACCCTGCAAGCTCCTCCAGGGTGACAAGGGGAGAAACGGGAGTAAGACCGTGTCTGGAAGGGAAGGGACAGAATTGTGTTTTGCGTGTGACATGATTATTTGCCTAAAAAATCTAATAGAATCAACTAGAAAACTATTGTAACCGGTGAGGGCGCCCAGTAGTCCCGCCGAACGTGATGTGTATGCTTGGGCGGCCACCAGGGAGAAAGTTGCTGTCGTAGCAACAACAACAAAAAGCGTAAAACCCAGAGACCTGTAAGGAGTGTGGCCTAAATACCTGGAGGAAGAGTCTCAGGAGAAGAAAACGAAGTCTTGTAAGAGTCTCGCTGAGGCCCAGACTAATCAGTCGGCCTGTTCTGGTCCTCGCGCATACCCCATGGTGTTTGGGTTTTGTCATCGGGGTGAACTATCAGAAGACAGGGCCATGCCCCCACCTGCCCCGCAGGATGGTGGACTCCGGGTGGGCTGCGGGTGGGAGCCGGGTCCCCGGGGAAGATGACCCCGGAAGGCCAACCCCTGTCTCCTGTGGCTTTGCAGAGCGATTGAACGTGAAAGACCAGCAGATTGCACAGAGCCTTGGCGAGAAGCAGCAGATCTACCTGGAGATGGCGGAGATGAGCGGGCTCGAAGATGTCCCCCAGTCGCGGCTCCTCTTCCGAGGAGGGGATCCCTCTGAGACCATGCAGGGGGAGCTGATCCTCAAGTCGGCCATGAGTGAGAGTAAGGAGCCGCGCCCGGGGGCCCTCGCTGGGCGCTGGCCCACTGCTGCCCCGCAGTTCTGCTAGGGGGTCCTCGGCTGGCGGGGCGGGGAGGTCCCTCCTCCTGGGAGCAGCACTGACACCCCCACCCCCGGCATCGGCTAGAGCCAGAAGGTCCTTCAACACCCCCAGCAGACTTACAGCACCTTCTCCCTGTCAACCCGCTACATGCGAGGCAGCACCACACTAGGCCCCCGGGATCTGAAGTCAACCAAGACGGATTCCCCACACTCAGGAGGTTCTCCTTTCTGAGAAGTGGGTCCCCGATGGTGTCCCCAGAAATAGGCACACATCCACCTGTGCTGGGTCACTTCAGACGGCTCCTAGACCCAGCAGGCCTCCCGGGGCGGGCTGCCCCCACCTCTAGGCAGAAAGAGGCTTCTGAGCGCAGTGGCCACAGGAGGGCGCTGGCTAGTGTGCGGCCTGCCCCCCTCCACGTGTGGCAGGCCAGGCAGCCCATGCTCGTTGGGTCCAGCAGGACGGTTGGCCCCGCTTTCAGTGGCAAATGGGAGAGACAGCTGCTGCCCTCCAGACCTTTCCTTCAGAGTGAGGGGAGCAGAGACCAGAGGGGTCCCTTGTGGACTCTGCGTCCGCTCAGTCTTGTTTCCTCCAGCCACACTGACCTTCTGCACTGACCTTCCTCGCATTTCTTCAGTGGCCATTGTTCTTGGCCCCCTGAGGGACCCCTCATATCCTGTGCCTCAGCCTGGAATGTTCTTCTCCCCACCTCCTCACTTGGCCAAAGCCTGTTTGTCCTAGAGCGTTTTGTGTGACCTGCCCTGCCCCCAGAGACCTCGTCTGTATGACGGCCGACACACAGGCACACGCCCGCATTGTTCACGAGGCCCAGGGCATCCCCATCCCTCCCCCATGCTGCCCCCGTGGTCCACCGTCTCCTGTGGACACGGGTTGGCGTGTCCTGGTTGTAGTACCTGAAGTTAGGGAACACACGGGTCAGGGGACTGAAGTCCCGTGTCGGGGGATTCGAAGACCATGACCGACGCCCTGCAGGCTTCTCAGGCCTGAGTGCCCAGACCCTGCCACGCTCGGACACCCACAGCATGGCTCCACAGCGTGACTCGGTGCCTCCCACCTCCTTCCACAGTCGAGGACATCCAGACCCTGATCTGCAGGCAGCTGGGCAGCGCCAACGGCCAGGTGGTCGATGGGGGAGGTTCCGCGGGCCTGCCCCGCAGGGCAGAGACCTTCGGGGGCTACGACACTGTGAGCAGTCCCGGCAAGAGTGAGTGGTGCCGCGTCCACCTGGGGCTTCTCGGGGCCCCTCCGGAAGATCAGCAGCAGCAAGAGGTTGTGCGGGTTCTTGGAACGTTCCCAGCAGCAGAGTCGAGGCATTTGTTGCTGGGCATCTCTGGGGCTGCTTCCCCCGCAAACGAGTATGAACCTTCTAGTCAGGTTCTGGAACCTTCAGGGTGTTGTCGGTCGTGCTCCGACAGCAGCACCCAGGCAGCCCTTCCCTCTCTTGCCGGTCTCTGCGTCTCAGATACCACCGTGGCAGCCCGGCCACAATTTCCTACCTGGGTCTGGGGGGCGGGGGCCTGGCCCGGACCCCTGTGGGACCTGCAGCGTCCTCATGCGCCTGGATTGGGCTTTTCAGATGGCAGTTTGAAGAAGGCCCACAGCAGCGACCCCGGCCCCCAAGACTGGCAAGGCCCGGTGAGCAGCCCAGACTCGAAGCCCAGCAACACGCCGGGGGCCTCTGAGGACACCCCGCCCGCAGTACGTTGCTTCCTTGGGATATTCCTGAGCTAGGCACAGAGTCCGCGCAAGCCCTTTAAATTAGCGTTCACACGTGTGAACGGCTCTGTGTCTGGGGCTGTCTAGTTTTGCCGTCTCAGGACGCGTAGTGACCAGTGCCAGTCCCGTTGTACCAGGAAATCTCAGCCCAGGTGAACCTGCGGGCCGGCGAACCTCCGTGTTCCCTCCCGCACCTCCTGGGAATGGTAACGAGGTGTCCAGGAGGGGGGCGAGGGAGGGGACAGGCGCAGGGCGGGAGCTGTGGCCGCATCAGCAGCCGAGGGGCGCCGCGGGGACCGTGAGCACTGAGTCTACGCGTGTGTCCTGCTGATGCGCCTGGCTGCTCCCTCCCCTTGGACTCCGGAGGCCCACCCTTACCAGGCGTCGGGGCCGGAGCGGGGTCAGGTTGCGGGTCAGGCTCCCCTCTGCCGCCCACGGGCTCCCCTGAGCCCGCGCACAAGCTTCACCCCCGGAGCTGCAGCCGGGGGCGCCTGGCCCCCCGAGCCTCCCCACGTGAGCCCGCAACAGCTGCTCTCCGCCTCCAGGGAGGCCGCCCTGTGCGCTCCTTTTCCAGACACCGAGACTCGGGGGGGGGGGGGGGTCTCGTCAACAGTAGGCAGGTCCTTAGCTGTCTGTGTTTGGCCCATTCTCTCCACAGGTGGCGGTGCCGGGGGCGGAGTCCGGCCGCCCTCTGCCCGCGGCCCTGGAGCTGGAGGTAGGCCCGGGGCTCAGCGGTCTCCCCAGGGGCGGGCATGCACACCGCACGCGGCTGCGCGCAGCGAGCCAGCGTCTCTCTCCCTCTCCGCAGCTTGTCCAGCGGATCCAGACCCTGTCTCAGCTGCTCCTCAGCCTCCAGGTGCGGGGGACTTCCGGGGGAGGGAGGGGGCGCGACCATGCCCTTCTCCTGCCCCTGCTTGAGGTCGGGGTCTGGGGAGAGGCGGGCCTCGTCCTGAGACCAGTCCGCTCCGCCGCCGCCGCAGGCAGTCATTGCCCAGCAGGACAGCTGCGTGGAGATGCAGAGGGCCTCCATCCAGGAGCGCGAGAAGCAGCTGCGGCTGCAGTCCACGCGCGGGAACCTGCTGCTGGAGCAGGAGCGCCAGCGCAACTTCGAGAAGCAGCGCGAGGAGCTGGCCGCCGTGCAGAAGCAGCAGGGCCTCCTGCGGGGGGAGCAGCAGCGCTGGGAGCGCGAGCGGGAGCGCCAGCAGCACGAGCTGGCCCTGGCCTCGGCCCGGCTGCAGCGGTGCCAGAACGAGTCGCTGCAGCTGCAGGAGCGGCTGAGCCAGGAGCGCGAGCAGCTGGAGCAGCGGCGGCGCGCCTACCAGCACGACCTGGCGCGGCTGCGGGAGGCCCAGCGCGCCGTGGAGCGGGAGCGCGAGCAGCTGGAGCAGCAGCGGCGCCTCCGCAAGCAGAACACGGCGCCCGGCGCGCTGCCGCCCGACTTGCCGGCCGAGGTGAGCGCGGGACAGGGCGCCAGGACACCGCGCGGGGGGCCCCAGCGTCACGGCGGATGTGCGTGTCCAAGCACAAGCTCCCGGCTAGGAGCTTAGGTCACCCGTGGACCCAAAGGAGGACGGGCAAGTGGGAGAGGCTGGCGGGGGGTCCGGGGTGCACCGTGCAGATCTGAGGCCAGTGGCTTGGAGGGGCTTGTGGGGGGGGGGGGGGCCCCCCCCCCCCCGCCCCCGCAGGAACAGGTTCGGGATGCGTCCTCTGCTGCTTTTCCAGGCCCAGCCACTAAGCCACACTCCCAGCTTCAACGGGGAAGGGCCGGAAGGGCCCGCCGCCCTCGCCAAAGCGCCAGGAGCCCGGGTGAGCATGCCGCTGGCGGGCCCGGGGCCCGAGTTCCCAGAGCGCCCCGAGATGGCTCGCCGGGACAGCGCCCCCGCCGAGAGCCGGCCGGCCAAGAGCGACGTGCCCATCCAGCTGCTGAGCGCCACCAACCAGATCCAGAGGCAGGCGGCTGTGCAGCAGCAGATCCCCACCAAGCTGGCTGCCTCCACCAAGGGCGCCAAGGACAAGGGCGGCAAGAGCAGGGGCTCCCAGCGCTGGGACAGCTCAGGTGAGCCGCGGGGGGGGGGGGGCGGAGCTGGAGCGAGTGAGTGGAGCGCTGGCCGGCGCCTGCCCGGTCCGCTATGGCCCTGGACTCGCAGGTCCAGTTGTGGGCTCTTTGTGAAACCAAAGCGGCTTCTTGTGAACAAACCAAAATGGGACCCCAGGGCCATCCTCTGGAGGGGGCAGCAGGGGGAACCTGGAGGGCACAGCTGGCAGCCCTGGGCTCATGTGGCAGAGGCCGGTCCCCGCCCCACACGGAGGTCTCATCCCAAGAAGGAAAATTAAAACATCAGGCCCCATGTCTTTTTCTCACCTTGGCCCTCAAACGGGGATTGGGGTCAACAGAACATCTTGGCAGTTCAGAAAGAAGAGCCCGGGTCCCTTGGGGACATCAGGGCAACCGGTGCTAATGCTCCCCAGCGAGCCCCTGCCCAGGGACAGTTCTCGTGCCCAGGTCTCTGCCGTGCCCTCATCCCACAGAGGAGACACTGAGGCCCTTGCACAGAGCACCCTGCAGTGAGAGGTCCTTCCTCCGGTAGAGAAAGCCCAGGGACTCCCACGGGTGCTGCCGGCACGCAGGCTCTGGCTGAGGGGAGCCAGCACTGGAACGTTCGCTGAGGAACAGGGCCTGTGTGCCAGGACTGCTGGGCTCCGGGGTCAGGGGGTCGCTCTCTCGTGCAGAGGCTGAGTTACTCCAAGGGCCCTCTAGTCGGGTGTCACCGTCTCTGGGGCTGAATGAGTGGGTGTGTCCCCGGCCCAAATGGGGGGGGCGCTGCCCACGTGCCCGGAGCGAGGCCAGACACCCCAGGCTGTGCCCTCCCTCCCTCAGCCTCCTTCGACCTGAAGCAGCAGCTGCTCCTCAGCAAGCTCGTGGGCAAGGACGAGAACAGCGCTCGGAACCGCCGCTCGCTGAGCCCGGTTCTGCTCAGCAGCCACAGCTCCGTGTGCCCCGCGGGTGAGCCCAGCCCCCCCCCCCCCCCCCCCGCCCCAGGACAGCAGGGCCAGCACGGTGCCTGGCGGCGGCTGACAGCCAGCACTCTCCCTCTCTTCCAGACCCCTGCTGCCCGGCCCCGGCTGACGTCCCCACCGAGTGCTGCCCCCTCAAGCCCGGGGGCGCCCCCGTGCCCCCCTCCCCCTTGCCACCGCCCAGCACACCGGGCGGCAAGGAAGACGGCAGCAAGGAAGACGTCATCTTCTTCTAGAGGGGGTGTGGCTCGAGGTGCAGACCCCTCCCCGTCCTGCTCTCTGGGGAACAGCCCAGTCCCTTTCCTCTTCCCGAGCAAACCACCACCAACGGCTGCCTGGCTGGGGCCGGGGTCAGGGTCACGGTCAGGGCCGGGGCTGGCCCGTCGCCTCGAAGGCTCTTCCTGTAGGATTAGCAGTGGTGCCTGGGTAACTTTCTAAACCTCTTTTTTTTTTTTTAACACAAAAAGGAAAGTTTTTAATCGAAGGTTGAACCAGAGCTAACCCAAGGAGCTGTGTGCAGTCGTAGCACCCCTGTTGGGGAGGGAGAGAGAGTGTGACTCCACGCCGTTTTTCCAAGGTAGTGACAGACAGTGGTGGCTCCGCAAGATTCCTGAGGACAGGCCGGACCCCCGTCGGAGAAGCAGGGGCCGGCCCTGGGGCTGGGCGGTGTCGGCGGGATCCGCTTCCGAAGCAGAGACTCGCCTGTGTTCGCGGGGGGCCTCAAGGCCAGGGCGTGAGTGCAGACGGGGGAGGGGGGCGGCCACACGGCCCCGCCAGGGACGGAGGGCCACAGGGCGGGGCGTGTGGAGAGGACCAGCCGGTGGCACAGGTGACAGGAGGGGACGGGCCATAACTAACTTTAATTTGACAGAGGTCTTTAAACTCTGCTGATGCCAAACTTGGTGCTTTCCAAAGGCACCTGAGCACAGTGGCATGCTTCTGTGGGGTTCGGGGCCCCAGCCGTTCTCCGAGCTCTCAGCCTGCCCGGGGAAGCCCAGTCGAGAGCGTTAGCCAGGGCGGGTGTCCCTCACCCTTGGGCAGGGGCTGGTACAAGGAATGGAGCGGTGGGGCCGCCACGTCCTCGTGGACGGGGGCGACATGCCAGAGGGGTCACCTAGGGCCTGGAAGACGTCAGATGGGCAGGGGGCTCAGGTGCCTCGTGTCCAGCGAGCTGAGCTAGCCTACTGTCAGCTCCCCTGGAGGACAAGGGCCACCCATCCCGCTGCACAGCTCTAGATGCTGGGGAGCACGCTGGATGTCCAGGAGCACTCCGGGCCTGGCCTGTGGGTCAGATGCACACTTCAGCTGCGGAGGAACTCAAGCCTGGGTGCAGGGTGGGGGAATGGGGGTACTCCGGCCTTTTGGTCCCTGGCCTCCCCCACTGAGCCCAGAGCCCCGTCCCTCCCAAAGCGCTGGTGGGAGGACGGGGGCCCCAGCTGACCAGTTCCGAACCTCTCCCAGGCACAGTGAATGGTGTGCCGAGCCCGGCCCCTCTGAGAACCTCTGCCCGCTCCTTTCTCCCCCCCCCGGTCTCCACTTAGTGCTTGGGGCCTGCAGCATCCGCGCGTCCTCGGGGAGCCAGGAGAAGCGTCCTCCCTCGGTCCTGTGAGGCGTCCGAGCTCACCTGTGCCGTGTCTGTGATCAGTGTTTGCGTTTTCGTACTGAGACGTCTCCAAGCACTTGAGCAGAGTTGACTTTTAAGTTCCTGTCCTATGGTGAAGCGAACAGCTCTGGCCCCTCGTGCTGGGTGATTCCACCGCCACGCGCCCCTGTCCGCCGGCTCTGGTCTGACCCTCCGAGACGCCACGATTCCTCAGCCGGTGACAAGTCCAAGGAACCGCCACTTGGCCGTGTGGCAGGGAACTGGGGCATCCCACCGCGGGGCCACACAGCAGGGCAGTGTCGTCATGGGTCCATCCCTCGTCCGGGCAAGGTCACTCCCGGAGAGCCCGATTTTATTTGTACGGTTGGTGGTTGAGCAGATCCTCATGTCCATGGAACCTGTGCACGTCCTCATTAATTGTGACCATAATCTTAGTCCAGCCGACAATTATTTTTATGATGATTGCAACATTTCCTCACCGTGGGGTCTTTCAGAACCACCTTAGAACTTAAGACCTGATTCCAGCAATAAAAGTATCGAAGATGAGCCGACGGGAGTGTTCGTTTGGGGGTTTGGGGTTTTGTTTTAGGATCCTCGGCCCAAACATCAGTGCTCTACAGGTGGCTCACATCACCGGGCAGGGCGCCCCTCACACCCATGCCCAGGGCCCCACACACTCCCCTCAGGAAGCTCCAGACGATGACCGCGTGCAGACATTCGGAGTCAGAGGCAGTGGGGGTGCCCGGGGGCCCCCGGGAGAAGCAGCCCTCCAGACGAGGCTGAGGTGTGGGGATGCGGCCAAGTCCTCTCCGCTCTGGCGGGGTGCCCTTCCGGTTAGGCCTGTCCCCGTGCTCTTGGGATGTCGGCCTCCTAGACAAGGAGGCATTGCCCCGAGTAGGGCCATCCCCAAGGCCCATCTGCCTCCCTGCTCCCCAAAGGAGCTGAGTTTGCTACGGCAGGTGCTCCCTGGGTGCTGGGAGAACGCTTTCAGGCCCTGCTCCCAGGAACTGGCTGGCTCTGCCCCCACCTAAGAGGCTGAAGTTGCCAGGCGGGGAAGAGCACCGGGCAGGGGCTGTGGCCACACTACAGGTGGGGCTTCTCGACTGCCCAGCGGTGTGTCCCAGCATAGCCCCAGCCCTGGCATTTGGCTCTGCCCAGGCCCATGGGGACACCAGCCTGCCGGGGACCTGTGACTGGACAGGTTACGTATGGGGGTGTACCTGTGGCTTCCCCACAAACACAGTGCTCCGAGTGCCTTACAAGTATTAACTCCCTGAGTCTCCAGGTAGCTAAGCAGGTACTGCTGTGACCCCCACCCCAGCCCCCCTGGTGCCTTGAGTGCTGGGAAGGGGGCCTCTGCTAAGGGCCACGGCGAGCAACGTCCCCCCCCCTTTGTGAGAGGGGAAGGGGAGGCTGACCTGACCCAGCCTGGCCCCCACGCCTCATCCAGGAGGATGGGTGGGGCAGGGTGCTCCAGCCAGGGCCAGGTGGGGGGTCTTCTGCGCCCCATGTTAACCCTGAGGGGCCCTGTATCCCAGCTTTTCCCACCACATAGCTTCCCTGTGGGACAAGAGGTGGAGGGGTGTCACATGAAGCCTCGGGGACTGCAAACTGCCATTTTTGTTGGCTCTTCCTGGTGCTTGCGGGATGTAAGGGACAGCCTGATCCCCTCCGCTTTCTGGCTAGGACCCAGAGGTGGAGGATCCGAGGCCACGTCGAGACGGGCAGACGTGGGCGGGCCACCATCTGCAGGCGCCTGCCTGAGGCCACACACACGGGGCCTCTCACGGGTCAGTCTGAGACATCCCATCCCGCCATGATCCCCATGAGGTGGGAGACGATCCCGGCCGCAGCCTGGAGCCCGTAAAACACTCAGACCAGCCCTGGGCCCAAGCTGTGGCGGAGTGTGAAATGCTTCGGCCACAACAAGCACCCTGGAGCTGCCCAGGCGGACGAGACACAGACGTGGCCCCCCGTGCCCGAGACGGAGGTGCGGGGAGCTGCTCGCCTGGGCTGAAGCCTGCTCAGGGCCAGCACGTTCCAGAAGGCGGGCTGAGGAGGTGTGGTTTCCAGGCAGCACCTGCACCCCCTCTCAACATGCACAGGGCTGCCGCCGCCACCACCGCCGGGAAGGAACAGGGCGTGTGAGCAGGAAGGCCTGCAGGTGGGAGGGGCTGGGGGCCAGTGATTTAGAAATAAGCTCTCACACTGGGCCCAGCACCAACAACCTATTTAATCGATCATCATCGCGACTTTCCTAAGGCCCGCGTAGCGCACACCATCCTGGCTCCCCCGCTCGCCTTTACTGGAACGCAGGACACGAGCCGAGCGAGGTGCTGTGAGGCCCACAGCAGCCTTCTCTGCATGTCAGGCCTGGCGACCCCTACTCTGGCCCTGAGAGAAGCCCCCCCACGGAGCCCCGGCCTAGTTGGAAAGGTCCTGGCTCTCGGCCCCCGGGGGGACCTCACCCCTGCCCACATCCTGGCCCACCATGGGCCCGTGCCCGAGGCGCCCCGCGCGTTCTCTGGGTTACGCGTCCCTACACCTGGCATTGAGTTGCTCAATTACAGACCCAGCCCTCGCCCGACTGATTTCTGCTTTGTGGGAAGGGGCCCTCCGGTGGGGTTCCGGCTGCACCCACACCTCCCAGGCCACGTCAGGGGGTGGTGGCCTCGGCCCGGCCAGCCTGGTACACGCTGAGGAGGGAGGAGATGGTCCCGAGGAGGCCCACGAGCCACGGGGGGAAGCGGCCAGCCCACAGGACACCCGGAGGCAGCCAGTGCACGGCGTTGGCCAGATCGGCCACGTTGCTCAGGAGGGTCAGCACCTCCGACCGGACCTGGGCCTCCATGGCCCTCCTCTTGCTCCGGGGCAGCCGGCTGTGGGAGCAAAGAGAAGCCGCTGGGGAAGACCCAGGCACACCCAGGCTCACCCCAACGGGCAGGAAGAGGTGACAGCAGAGCGAGTGAGGAGAACTGGTGGGGCTGCGTCCCCGTCACACCCCCCAGAGGGAGCCCACAGCATGAACAGGGCACAGACGGGCGTGGGAAGTCTCAAACCCACACCTCAGTCCTCTGGGCCCTGGAGACAGGCAGGGAGCTGCGGGGGTGGGGGGGGCGCGAGGGGCCTCAAGCCAGCCTCTGTTTCCCCATCTGGGCCAGTCCCTGGAGCTGCTGTAAGGCCCCCCGCGCAGGCCCGCACAGGCGCGAGGCTGGAAACGTGGCAGCTCACAGCACCTCCCCGGGGAGGGAAACCCAGCAGCAGCGTCCCCAGCCTGCGGGAGGAAGTCAGCCTTTCTCCCGGGCAAAACCCTGGGGTCGTACCTGGTGAAGGCCACTGCGGGGCCCCTCAGCTTCCGTCTCAGCGTCAGGACCATCCTCAAGGACCTGCAGCAGGCAAAGCAAAGCAGGGTGGGGGTGCAGGGGTTAGCTCCCCATTGCCAGCCCAAGGGGAGGCCGCCGCCCCCCACGACGGCCACAGGTAACTCCAGCGCCCTGCACCCTCCCAGGGCACCAGACTGGCCTGGGCCTCGGAAGCTCCCGGGGACTCCTGATTCGGACCCTGACCTGCCTGCACTGTCCACGCAAGATCTGGAAGCATCTCGTGCTTCTGATGCTGGAGCCAGGCATGTGTCCCTGGCCAGGTGACCTGTCCCCGGAGAGCATGGGGACACAAGTCAGCACCTGCAGTGAGGTAAGTGGGTCTGCGTCAGACCACCTCGAAGACTGGAGCAACACGCCGACTCCTGCGCCCCGGGTCCAGACTAGCAGAATCCAAACCTCTCGGCAACTGGGCATCTGCATTTCAGCAAACTCCCTGGTGACTCTCAGGTACCTTGGGGTCCTATGGACACCAGGTCGGGACCCTCATGCTTGCTCACACCAAATAGAGAGACATGATGAAAAAGTATAAGCTCTAAAAATGAACAGGCAGAGCACAATTTGAGGGCAATGCCACCACTCTGTGATGCTGTAACAGTGGGAATGTCTCATTACACACCTGTCCAAGGCCCCAGGACGTGCAACACAGAGTGAATCCAGATGTAAACCACGGACTTGGGGTGCCCGTGACTTGTCGACATGGATTCATCGACTGCTGGGGGAGTTTGATCATGGAGGGGCTGTGGGGCGGGTGGGGAATCTATGGAAACTCTCTTCACTTTCAGTTCAATTGTGCTGTGAAGCTAAAACTCTAAAACTAAAAGTCTATTTTAAAAAATTAATGGAACCGGGGTGCCTGGCTGGCCTAGCCGGTAGAGTGTGCTTTCTGGGCAGGGAGCTCGGAACAAACCCGCTCAGCGCATTTACAGAGAGGGAAATGTTCGGGAGGAAACCATTATTTGAAAGTTCTAGAAACAGCTGGGACGCCTGGGTGGCTCAGTCAGTTAAGCGGCTGCCTTCGGCCCAGGTCATGATCCCAGGGTCCTGGGATCGAGTCCCACATCAGGCTCCTTGCTCAGCAGGGAGCCTGCTTCTCCCTCTCTCTCCTTCTGCTTGTGCTCTCTCGGTCAAATAAATAAAATCTTTATTAAAAAAAAAAAAGCAGATGCTTTGGGCGCCTGGGTGGCTCAGTCGGTGAAGCGACTGCCTTCAGCTCAGGTCATGATCCTGGAGTCCCGGGATCGAGTCCCACATCGGGCTCCCTGCTCAGCGGGGAGTCTGCTTCTCCCTCTGACCCGCTTCCCTCTTGTGCTTTCTATCTCTCATTCTCTCTCTCTCTCAAATAAATAAATAAAATCTTTAAAAAAAAAAAAGAAAGAAAGTTCTAGAAACAGTCTGGGTTTCAGAAGCACACAGCCGGTCAAGAAACTCCTGTTCTCTCTGGGGACATTTGCCGACGACCACGCACACACACGCAGAGACCGGGGGAAAGGCATCCCCCTCCAGCTACTTCGGTCCCCGGCCTGGAGTTCTTCCTGCTTCCTGGGGCCAGTGGGCACAATCATGCCCTCCAAAGATGTCCACGTCCTCATCTGCAGGCCCTGTGAGCGTGCTCCCTTACATGGCACAAAGGACTTTGCCGACGGGAGGGAGGTAAGGGTCTTGAGATGGGGGAGGACGTGGGGCTCTCACGGGGCCCTCATGAGGGGGAGGCGGCAGGGTCGGGAGTCGGAGATGTGCCCAAGGAAACGGGCTGTGCTCTGAAGACGGAGGGGAGGGACCACGGGCCAAGGAATGCAGTGGTCTCTAGAAGCCGAAAGAGGCAGGACTGGCTTCTCCCCCGACCTGGAGGTGTAGCACAGTGAGTCCACACTGGACTTCCGACCTCCAGAGCCGTGAGGCAGTGCGCGTGTGCTGTTCCGAGCCACGCGGTTTGGGGGGGTCTGTTACAGCTGCAGGTCTAGGGAGGCACCCCTTACGGCCTGCTGGTGGGTGTTAAGGCCACGTACCTGGCAATGCCCAGGAGCAGGGAGAGGCCCCAGAAGGCTGTGCTCAGTGTCCACCACCGGGCAGGGTCCACGTGGAGGATCTGGGCATCAGCAGCCCAGGCGATGTGCTCACAGGGGTAGTAGAGCTGGTCGGCCAGGTTGCCGAGGACCGACACGCAGCGGACAAAGCTGTCTTCCTCCTGCAGGACCAGGAGAGAGGGGGGCGTGCGCCTGGAGTCAGACCTACCCAGGCCCATCTTAGGGACCCAGGCCAAGCCAGATGGCAGTCACAGGGCAACGTCCAGGCCCAGCAGGCTGGCCCACGGCGGGCCACTGCAGGGGAAGAAAGGCCCGATTTCCGCTTCTCAGAGCAGTGTGGCCGTCATCCCCCCGGTGGAGCAGAAGCTGTCAGCTTAGCTGCGCAAGCGATCCCCTGGAGAGCTTCAGAGCACCAGCCCCAGCCCCAGGGATTCTGCCTCACTAGGTCCGGCGTAGGCCCTGGCACCAGGAATGTCTTTTAAGTTCCCGGATGATTCCCAAGTAGGACAATTTGGGATGCCCTGCATCAGGGCCTTCCCACCCTGCAGCCTTCTGGGTCCTGCGCACGGGTCTGCAGGCCAGGCTCCCTGGCACCAGGCTCTAGGAGAGCCGCGGAGGGAGAGCCCTGCAGAGCACCCCGACCCGACAGGGCAGGGTGGTACTGAACACGCTCAGTGCGGACAGTAAGTGGGCACCAGGCTGCAAGGCTTGGGTCACCACTCCAAACCAGAGGGGTCACAAGCCCCGCCAACAGGCCAACTGAGGTACTTAGGGGAAGCTGCCACCTGCCCTCCTCATACAAGGACAGGCCTCGGGCCTTCGAATAGCAGAACCCAAGCCCTCGCCCAAGTTCCACCAAGTTCCGAGCCACGGCCTGTATCCAGTGAGGCAGGACCAGCTGAGGCTCAGGAGCCTGGTGCCCACGCCGCATTCTTGGGGCCCACCCCTCAGGACTCCACCCCTTGGAGGCCTCTAAGCTGGGGGGGGGGCCCTGTGTGTCCTTCACTTCCTGCCTTCAGCCTCCTCATCCTCACTGCCTGCCATACCCCTTACCCTCCCCTCCGGAGCCCCCTTCCTTCCTAGTGGCCAGCTGGGATCCTGCCTCCCTCTAGGTTCTGAAACCCCCTCCAGCTCCCCCATCCTGCCTGGGACCCTCTGGTGTGTTTGGCGTATTTCAGTCCTCCCCCGAGAACAGGGCCCTCCCTGCCCGCTCCCCAGTATGCTCCTTCCACTAGGGTCTCCAGAGAAGCAGCGAGGCCAAGGCCCTACACTGGGGAGGAGGAGATGCTCACAGGACAGGGGTGCAGACACCTAAACACCGGACCCAGCAAAAGGAGTTCTTGTTCTGGCCAAGGGACATACAAGGTGCAGAGGGCCCCCGCCCCTTGTCTAGGGATGCAGAGGAGATGTTGGTTCGGGGAGGGGTCCTCTGAGGATGCATGGGAAGCGTGCCCTAATCGAAGACGAGGATAGGAGATGGGTGTCAAAACAGGAGGAAGGTCCAGAAAGCACTTGAGATTGAGGTGACTGGGCCACTGGGCGCTGGAGTGGAATGAGGGTGGGTGCACCTGAACGTGGAGTGGCTCAGAGAGGGGACAGGGGTAGGGGGGACGGGCAGGGCAGTCCACGGAGGGGCATAACGGCCAGACAGGCCCAGGGAAGCTTCCGGGCCCATCCCCTGGGGGAAATGTCCCCTGTTCTAACAGCAAAATCGACATGTCCATCGTCAGGGGATCAGTTACATAAATCACCATCCAGCTCTAGAGCAGATTACGGTGCGGCCACAAAGAAGGAAGGAGCTCTGTTTGGACTGAGAGGGAGTGACCTCCAAGCCATGCTGTTTAACAGACAAAAGCAAGTCCCAAACAGCGTACCAGGTGCACAACTAATTACGTAAACAGGGTGATTTGCCTCCGCCCGGACAGGACACCTCGTGAAGGAATCACGAAAAGCTGACAACAGTATATGCCTCTGAGGCGAAAAACCAAGGGTGAGGGGATCAGGAAGGAGGGAGACTTTTTAATTCCATAACTTTTTGGAATGTATGAATGTATAAGCCATTTTTTCATTTAAATTCAAATGAGAACATCTGACCATCTCACAAAAGCAAGCAAAATTTTTAAAAGTAAGAAACAGCCTACACCGCTGCCTTTGGACAAGTCCATTAAACGCGGTTGCCCAGAGACTACGGCCCCATACACCCCGTTACCTCTGCCCCCAGGCCATACTGCTTCGTGTAGATAAACATGGCCACATCATCAAAGAGTCGCAGGACAGTCCTACAGTGGCTGAGTTGGGAGGACAGGGTCAGCAGGCGTGTCCCCACTTCTGATCTGGCCGGACAGCGTTCCACCAGGACCCCGCCAACCAGTTGGCAACAGTACCCCAGCGTTCGGATCTGTGGGAAACCAGAGCAGTCAGCAGGGCCCTGCTCTTGGGCCGAGCTGGATCGACCCCCACGTGGCCGTGGGTCCCCTGGGATCAAGTTGGGGGGCGAGGGGGCTTGTGCAGACTAGATCAACAAACTTCCAATAAAAGCTGAAAGTTTAAAGAGATACTTGCAGGTGGGACAAATGGAGAAACGTGACCTCATTGTCCAAAAGTCACTGGGGAGACTCTAAGGGGATGCTGGCTCGTGCCACTGAGGGGCACACCCTTTGGAGACAGATGTGACCGAGACAAGAAAATGCAACCATGTCACACCTCAGGGGTCCCCCTTTTCCCAGCAGACAGGAGGACGAGGCAGACATGTATATTTGCATCTACCCAGCTGGACCAATGTCTGTAGCTGGGTTGAGGACTGGAGAAGTTATCGGGCCTCGGCCCAGTGAGCCGAGGGTAATCTGCTTGACTTACCTCAGTGAGAAGGAAGCCACTCAATGGGTGGTTTGGGGCATGGGGAACTGTCAGCTTCACCACCCTTCTATCTTTATTTCATCTGCTTTCCAGAAATTGCTTTTTCCTGTTGTTTTATATATTTTCACTTATTTCTTTTCAGAATTGTAATAGCAAAACTGTGTCATAGCAAAACTCTGCGTTTTAAATGTACAGCTTGGGAATGTATTAAAACTCGAATGCCCAATCATAAGGTCTTTGAATGGGACCTAATTGCCCACCACTGGTACATTTCCTGGTACGACCTAAATGCCTACCTATAAGAGAGAAAAGCTTATATAGGAACAAGCTGAGCATCTGCCTTCAAGGGCCTTCCAGCCATATGGGAAAGGCCTAAAAATCCTAAATCCCCCTATGAGATTGTTAGGGACAAACCGGGGACCAACCAAGTGGCCTAGTCAGATCCTAAATGTTCAAACAGGATTTGGTCGGCCTGTAAATGTCCAGCCAGGGGGAACTGGAACAACCTAAGTGCCCAATTATAGGGGAATCGGTCGCAACCTCAATGTCCAGCCATAGAAGGAGCGCTGCAACACCCTGAGTCCTCATATGAGACTGCCTGGGACAACCCAGTGACCACCTTCAGTGGTCTGGTCGGATCCCAAATGTCCAAACGTGCGGATCTGGCTGGTACTGAGAACACCCCACCATGATGAGTTAGCAGGAGCAATCTGTACGTCCACTGCTAGGGGACAGGGTCGGAGCCCAGCCGGGAGGGCGCCTCGGCGATGGATCCTGAGCGACCCGCCCCGCTCTGGCCTCCGTTTCCAGACACGGAGCTCCAGCCCTGCTCCGGGACCACGGGCCGCGCTGCGCCCCAGCCTCACCAGGCGGTCCCGACCCCTGTACGACTCCAGCGCCGAAGCCAGGCCGCTCAGCGCCGCCATGGCAACTCCGCCGTGGCGCCACCGTGACGTCGGCGCGCAGCGCCAAGGGGGGCGGGGGCACGGCGCGAGGCCTCGCCCCCCCCCCGGGAACGCTCTGCGCAGGCGCGGCCGCGACCCTTTGTCCCCGGCCCGACCCATTGTGCCCGGCCCGGCCCTTTGTCTGCTGCGGGGAGCTGCCCAAGTCTGCAGCTTAGTGGCCGCAACGTCTCCGCTCGCCCGGGGCCTCTGCACCCAGACGGCCCTCGGAGCCCACTGCCTTTGCCCCGCGACGGCTGGTCTTTTCAAGTTAACCATCTACCCACAAAAGTAGTATCCAAGCGAAAGCACCAACCTGTTTGCTCTGGTTCAAGAAGGGATTTTTCTTTCTTTTCTTTTCTTTTTTTTAAAGATTTTATTTATTTATTTGACAGAGACACGGCGAGAGAGGGAACACAAGCAGGGGGAGTGGGAGAGGGAGAAGCAGGCTTCCCGCCGAGGAGCGACCCTAGGAGGGGCTCGATCCCAGGACCCAGGACCCTGGGATCGTGACCCGAGCCGAAGGCAGACGCTTAACGACTGAACCACCCAGGCGCCCCAAGAAGGGATTTTTCTTTTTAATTTCTGTGCTGCACCCTTTCTCCCCTGTCTGCTCGTCTACAGTGAGCATGCACAGCTGTTGTAAATTCATAAAAGGCATTTTGAGAAAGTTAAGGAAACTCATAGATTCGTTCTAGAATAGGCGAGGGTCTGGTAACTGGAGTTGCTCCGAAGAGGGTAACTAACTGTGGCTGGGAAGAGGATATTAAATTGTTCACCTTTGGGGCGCCTGGGTGGCTCAGTCGTTGCGCGTCTGCCTTGGGCTCAGGTCATGATCCCAGGGTCCTGGGATCGAGCTCCGCATCGGGCTCCCTGCTCAGCGGGAAGCCTGCTTCTCCCTCTCCCTCTGCCTGCTGCTCTGCCTACTTGTGTGCTTTCTCTCCCTCTCTCCCTCATTGTCAATAAATAAATAAAATCTTTAAAAATAAATAAATAAATTGTTCACCTTTGTACCCATTTCAGGTGCACAGCCTAAAGGTTTGACTCACAGACACCCTGACATGATTACAGTAAGTTTAGTTAGCAACCATCATCTGGTATAATTTTGTAGCTTTTGAATTTTGTGCAACATGCGTTATTCTCTCATCAAAAAGTCAAATGAGATTTTTCAAAAAGTTAACATGACCTGTTTCCTTTTTTTTTTTAATTGTAACGTTCACATAAGAGTCACCGTGTTAAGATGTAAAATGCAGTGGCATTTACAACACCCGTATGTACAAACATCACCCCTTTTAAGCTTCAAAACATTTTCATCACCCTCAGAGGAGACCCTGTAATTCTGACAAGCAGTTAATCTATCCCTCCCTGCTCCAGCCCATAACCTCCACCATCTGCTTTGTCTTGGTGGGCTTACCCATTCTGGATATTTCCTATAAGCGGAATAATGCGATATGTGACCATTTGTGTCTGGCTCATCCACAGTGTAGCTTATATCAATACTCCATTCCTTTTGTGGCTGCGTAATAATCCCTTGTATGGATCTATGGCATTCTGTTTATCCATTCATCCACTGATGGACCATTGGGTTGTTTCCACATTTTGGCGACTGTGAATAACGCTGCTGTGAACGTGGGCGTGTGTGTATCTGTTCAAGTTCCTGCCTTCAACTTCAGTTCCTTTGGGTAGACACCCAGGAGTGGAATGGCTGGGTCATAGGGTAGCTCTATGTTTGACTTTTCAAGGAACCACCAAACTGTTTTCCACATTGGCTGCACCACTTGACATCCCCACCAGCAATGCACAACACTCTCCACATTCTTGCCAACACTTTTATTTTGCCTCACTACTATTATTATTGCCTTATTATTATGGCCATCCTGTGGGGTGAGACATGGTATCTCACTATAGCTTTGTTTTATATTTCCCTAATGACTCATGATGTCGACTGGTTGCCTTTTGCAAAATATTGCCCCTCGATTTCAACTTTCAGGACTCTTCCTGCCTGCTCCCTTCTTTCCAACCACACTGCCTTCCTCCTGGTCCTTGAAGTTACAGTACGCTCCTGCCCCAGGGCCTTTGCATTGGTTGTGCCCCCTGCCTGGGATGCTCTCCCTCCAGATTCCCACATGGCCCCCTCCCTCACGTCCTCCTCATGTTTACTCGAACATCATTGGACCTCCCCATCACACCCTCCTGGGCACTTCCTACCCACGTTTCTTGCTGTCTTATTTTCCTCCTAAGTTTGGAATACTATCTTTTTTTTTTTTTAAGATTTTATTTATTTATTTGACAGAGATAGAGAGAGCACAAGTAGGCAGAGAGGCAGGCAGAGGGAGAGGGAAAAGCTGACTCCCTGCTGAGCAGGGAGCCCAATGTGGGACTCGATCCCAGAACCCTGGGATCATGACCCGAGCTGAAGGCAGCCGCTTAACCAACTGAGCCACCCAGGCGCCCTGGAATACTATCTAATGTCACTATATCGCTTCTTTATCTAGCTGCCTAGTTATTTGTCTCTCAACAGAATGTGAGGACTTCGATCTGTCTTGGTCATAGCTATGTCCCCACGGCCTGGCACAAAATAGTTTCTCAATAAGTGCCATAACCTTCGGGGCTCAGCTCCCGGCCCAAAGCTCTGTGCTCACACTCCATCCACATGATCCTGGGAAACCTCCTCTACTCCCATGACTTCCCTGGCCCCCTCATCATTGGCCTCTCCCTCATGCCTCTTTAATCCTGACCTGACTCCTGCCCCCACCTGCCCCCTGGACACTTTCCCTGCGCATCCCCCCAACCCCATCCCCACACTCAACATGTCGCAGCATCATCCAGATGCCCTGCCAGTCACAGACCTGGCTCACCTTTTTCTCTCCACACACGTCCCTCCCACATCCCAACAGTCACCAAAATGTCACTTGAATCCATCCACTTGCTCCTGGCCCACAGCCCCCTCCATTGGCAGCCCCCCTCCTCTCTCCAAGCCCTAGACCCCAAGCCCCGCCTCCCCCAAGTCGGCCTCCCTACAACATCTCAAGATGGGGAGTCAAGAGACTCTTTAACCCCCACATCTGACCACAGCCCTCCTTGCTTAAGCCTTGGGCACAGGCATCTGTGTGCCCCCACCCCCCAACTAGGGACACTGTTCCTGCAGAAGAAAAAAAATCCATGCCAAGCCCAAGGCCTACAGAGGGAAGAGGGTCTTGGGCTGTAGACCCTGCTGCTGCCTGAGTGGCTAGGTCCCTTCCCTGGAGCCCATGCTGTCCCTGACAGCTTCGTAATCACACAGTGCATTTCTCTGAGTGACTGCTGAGAGCCAGGCCCTGTGCCAGGCACCAAGCAGACAGCAGTGAGTCTTGCAAGCCCTGCCCATCCCTCCCAGCGTCCTCCACCATCTGGTCAGGGCTGAGCTTGACCTTTGAGAGAGAGAGACAGGAGATAGCCTGGCATTCACAGCTGGCCTTGTAGTTGCTAGGAGCTGGCCTGGCGGTCCCGGCTAAGCCCCGGTGTTCTCCTGCGGGACATAAATAATTTTGCAGAATGCCAACAATGGACAAGGCCACTCTGTGACCGTGGTGGAACAAGACAAAACAAGCTCACTCCGTGATCACGTCTGAATGCAGGCAAAACATGAGCATTGTCCAAACCACAGCAGCAACCAGACATTCACTTTTCCTGGATAGTCTGAATTGCAGTCCTTTGACCACTGACAGCTTTACTCTTGCTTCATTCCTTAGACTTTTTGATAAAAACTAAGACCCTCAATAAGAAAATTACCTCTCCCCCTTTGCTTCCCGACAGCATCCAGATCCACCTGCTGGGCCTTCGTTTCCCAGCAGGCAGAAGGACTAGGCTGAAATGTGTATTTGCAACAACCTGACTGGGCCAAAGCTCTCAGCCAGGCCCCAGGCAGGGGAGCAGTGATGGGACCTCATCCCGGTGGACAAAACAACAATTTGCTTGAATTTAGTGAGAAGAGAGCCACTCAGTTAAATAAGTCCTGGAGAGGTATTAGCTAATGTTACAATGACAGTTGTATTGCAATAGAAATGTATCAAATCAATATGTTGTGCGGCTCAAACACAGGCAATGTTATGTGTCAATTATAGCTCAATGAGAGAGAAGGAAGGAAGGAAGGAAGGAAGGAAGGAAGGAAGGAAGGAAGGAAGGAAGGAAAAGGACCCATTTTGTAGCTGATTTGGGGTCATGAACTGGGGCCCTTGTATCTTTAGTTCACTTTTTTTTTAAGAAATTGTTTTTCCATTTAAAAAGTTACTTATTGTGATAAAATATACATAACATAAAATTTACCATGATAACTATTTTTAAACGCACAGCTCAGTGGCACGAAGCCCATTCACATTGTCGAGCAACCATCCCCACCCTCCTCCTCCAGAATTTGTCATCTTCCCAAACCTAAACTCTGTCCCCATGAAAGACTGACTCCCCCTTTCCCCCATTCATATTATTTTATGTATTATTTTCACGTCGGATCATCTCAAAAAGGAAAGTCAAATTTCCCACCAGTAAGACCATGCGAAGCAAAGACCCACTTCCTTGAACCTCCCCGGAAGCACGGAAGACAAGCCGGAGTGAAGACAAGCCTGTCCCACACCCACAGCGCCCCAGGGAGTGTGCTCTCCCTTGCCATCACAAGTAACAAGCTTGAATTTGCTCAGCCACAAATGTGTTCCTGATGGTCTTTGGGCTGGGAGGGCACTGACGTCCTTAAGTGTACCTTGGAGGTCCGTGAGCCCTGGAATGACATTAAGCATTGCAGTGACCCAAAGACCAAAGACACTGGCTCGTCCTGTGTGGGGAGCGTTAGGAAGCAGACCAGCAGGAAAACTTTGGGAAAAGGCAGTAAGTGAATACCAGCAGCCTACTGCCTCAAATCCTCACTGCTGCTTTCTGAAGTGGTTACCATCCTCACAGCCCCATTTCCCAGATGACAAAACTGAGGCTTCGCGAAGTCAAGTCACTTGCCAAGCTCTCTTGAGCTCTCAGAAGGCAGGATCCTCTGGCCTCACTCCTGATCTTCCTCGCAGCCGCCCTCAGAGTTGCTGGGGGACCATTGTGACAGCACCGTCTGGGGGAAGCTCTTTGGTCACAATGGGCAGAGCTGGACCACACTGGGATGCAGCCTTGGAAGGAACATGTGAGCATCCTCTGGGAGACTGGGGACAGAGGGAGCCTCGAGGGTCAGGCCGGTTGCCAAGCGCATTTTCTAAGACTCATTAGTCCCCATGCCACCCCTTGAGGTAAGTACCATACCCTCATCCCTGATGTGGAAGCTGAAGCTCACAGGAGCCCAATTACTTACTCCGAGGTGACCTAGCTAGTAACTTCAGTTGTCAGATTCTCCATCAACTATTTGAAGACTTCTCCACTCTCAACTCTTTTCGGTGCCAAAATGATCAAAAAAGCAAACATAGACCCTGACAAACTGTGGTCTTGTTATCATGCTTGCTGCCTGCTTTCTAAAGAGGTCGACATGAGCTAGCTGTGAGCTGATGCGCGGTGAGCCTGCTCCAGGGGGGCTGGTCTCTGAGTGGCTGGGACGAGGGGGAGGGAGACTCCTCCTATCTGAGCAAAGGCAAGAAAGTCCCAGTCAGCTAACTGGGGTGCTGACAGCGCCTCTTGGAGCTGGAGATCAGGGAAGTGGAGTGAGAGGTGTCTGAGCCTCAGAGAGTTTGAGGATAGGAAGAGATCCAAGAGAACAACTGCAGAGGGCAGAAAGCCCCATGAGGAGGTGTGTGGCAGGATGGGACATTGGCCAGAACTGAGCAGACATTGGAGGGGAGAGCCATGGCCTCGACCACTGACTGAGGGTGAGGAGAGGGGGCTCCTGTATCAGACAAACTGTAGAAAGCAGTGGTTCATTCTGCAGCCCTTCCTGGTGCTCACTCTGCACTGACCCCCTCTGGGAGGGGCCTTGGCACCTGCTGTTCCTTCTGCCTGGGATGCTACTCCCCCAGGTACCCAAAAGCTCCTCTCCCACCCTTTTCAGGTCTTTGTCATCTCAGTGACACTACCCTATTTAAAACTGCAACCCTCCCATCCCACCTCCCCACCCCCATCCTCCTTCCCCGTGGGATGGTTTTACCCACAGCACTTAGCTCCTTCTCCTAACTCTGCAACTGATAGTAGTACATTTATTCAGTATTGTCTGTCACCTCCTCGCCCCAGCATTAACTCCACAAGGGCACGGCTCTTGGTCTGTTTTGTTATTTGATGTTCCCCCTTCCAAGAACCTAGAACAGTGCCTGGCACACAGTAAGCGTCAAATGAATGATGATATCTCTACTTTCCCTGGGGGCAGGCACAGGTTCTGCGCCTGTTTTTTCACAAGGTGTCCAGCCCCGAGGGCCCCGTGCCTGGAACACAGGAAGGGAGTAAAAGGCAGCATTGTCCTCAGGCGTCGCTTGCTCACTCCCGGGTCTCCGCCCCCTCACAGGTGGCGCCTTGTCCCCCGATGGCCGCGGTCGCCCTGCTGCCGTGCCCGCTGTCCAGGCGGGACTTCCTCAAGGCCTCGCACTTTGCACTGGGGCCCGACCCGCGGCTGCACGTGGGCGCCATGCAATCCACGTCGCATCAGGACTTCCGGGCGCACCCGGGAGGCACCCGCGCACCGCAGTGCCAGGAGCCGCCCCGCGGGTCCCTCTTCGCCCAGGACACGCGCTCGGCGGGCACGGAGCTCGGGTCGGAGACGCACTGCGCGTACGCGCCCCCGGGGCCGTCGCCGTCCGCGCGGTCGGAGATGCGGGAGCGCACCCTCGCCATGCAGGCCAGCAACCTGCGCGTGCACGCGGGCCCGCGCGTCCGCACCGGCCTCTCCACCGTGCGCGCCGACTTCGGCTGGCCCGAGCCGCCGGCGCGCGCGAGCGAGCAGATCCGCGGCGCACGGCTCATCTTCGACCGCGACTCGGTGCCGCCTGGCGACAGAGCCAAGCTGCGCATCCCGCCCACCACCTACCAGGCGTTTTACCGCCCCCACGACCCGTGCCCGCGGTCCCGCGCGCCCTGCTGCCACCTCGGTGAGCGCGCCGGGGCGGCCCGCGCGACTTGCCAACCGCGTGGTTCTCCAGGCGGGCGGGGATTCCGCGTCCTCTCCCAGGGGACATTTGGCTACGTCTGGAGATCATTTTTTTTTTTTAAGATTTTATTTACTTATTGAAGAGAGATAGGGGCGCCTGGGTGGCTCGGTCGTTAAGCGTCTGCCTTCCGCTCAGGTCGTGATCCCAGAGTCCTGGCATCGGGCTCCCTGCTCCATGGGAAGCCTGCTTCTCCTTCTCCCACTCCCTCTGCTTGTGTTCCCTCTCTTGCAGTCTCTGTCAAATAAATAAATAAAATCTTTAAAAAAATAAAATAAAATAGAGAGAGAGCGCGCACATGAGCAGGGGGGAGGGGCAGAGGGAGAGGGAGAAGCAGGCTCCCCGCTGAGCAAGGAGCCCGATGCGGGGCTCGATCCCAGGACCCTGGGCTCATGACCTGAGTCGAAGGCAGCTGCTTAACCAACCGAGCCACCCAGGCGCCCCTGGAGACCATTTTGGTTGTCATCACCCACGGAGGGGGTGCTACTAGCAGGGAATGAAGGGAGGCCAGGGATGCTGCTAAACATCCTACCATGCACAGGACAGCTCGCCCCAGTAAAGAATTCTCCAGCCCCAAATGTCAACAGTGCCGGGCTGAGAAAACCAGGAACCTCCCTGAGCCTCAGTTTCTATAAGCATAGAAGGGCATAGCTCCTGAATTTTTTTCAAGGGGCTGTGCCATGGGCAGAAGTCATGAATGGTGGTTTGGAATCAGACAAATCTGCTAAGTCGCCACCCCATCCCTGTCACCATAGTAGTTATGTGACTGAGCAAGTTGACCTCCCCAAGCCTGGATTTTCCTCCGTGCAACAATAGAGCCCCACCTCATAGGAGCTGCTGAAGCCAAAGGAGCCCAGAGTGTATGATGCACCTGGCATCCAGGGAGCGCTCAAAAAAGAGAAGCTGTCATTTGTATGATTTTCTAATTCTGTGACTCCAGGGGACCGGCTGGTGGTCACTAGTCAGAGTCCCTCCACGCTGGGCTCCGGGATTGTCAGATCTGGACTTGACTCAGTTCTGGTTTTGAATTTCCGTGACTTCCGGCAAGTCATTTGGCCTCTCTGGGCCTCAGGAAGGCTGTAAGGTGGGGAGAATTATGAACCCTGCAGATGGGGTTCGAAGCACTTAACCTAGATGCCGGGTTCAATACTTGGTAATTATTCTTGTTATCATTCCTTGTGTTATTTTTTGGTGTTTTCCACACAGCCCTCGGGCGAGGCTAGTCAGGACTGCCCAGCTCCCCTTTCCAGGTGAGGACTCGCATCCCAGTGGGCCAGAGGCTGCAGGGGCTCAATGCCCTTCTCTGTCTATTCTTGCTCATCCTCAGGGGGTCTCAGCCCCCTCAGGTGGGACCACAGGAGACAGGATAATGGGACCTCCTACCAGAGACACTTCCAGGCCCTGCCGAGCCCACCGGCCTTGATGTGTAAGAGGGTAAGTCGAGGTAGGGCTGGTGCTGCGGGGGACGGCAGCGATAGGGGCTGCGTGGGGTTGTCCATCCCACCTCTGTCCACCCACAGGCCTTCTCCAGCGTGGAACTGGGAGACTTCAAGATTGGCTATGGGCCCATGTGTTCGGAGCAGAAGCAAGCCTTCAGGCCCCAGGGTCTGCCCCCAGACAGGTACAAAGAGACGGTGGCCTTCCACCAGGGTGGCGGGCTCTCAGCGACTCGTGGAGCGTGCCACCCAAGGCTCTGGGGCCAATACTGTGCCTTTGAGGCCTCCATCACCTATAAGCAAGGCTCTCCCACCATCAGCACCCCACAGCTTGGCCTTTGGGAAGCCTGCCTCTCTCCCATTTCCTGGGAGTTGCAAGGGCCCGGATCAGACGAATCCTCCCTGGTCTGCAGGTATGACAAGGCCCAGGCCGCAGCCCACATCCACTATGTGAATATTCGTCCTGGAGATGGCCTGTTCCATGATAGGACCACCAAAGCTGATCATTTCTATGCCCGAGAGCCCGGTGAGTCTACTGCCGGCCCTGCCCACCCCTCCCCCCTCCCCCCAACCTCCTCCCTTCCCACAGGGGCCTCCCGGTCTGCTCAGCCTCTGCTCTGCCACTGGCAGAGCCTTTTGTCCTTCACCATGACCAGACTCCAGCATCGCACATCCTGGAAGGAAATTGGTGCCCTGGTCCAGGCAGCCTCACCACCTCCATGCATTTCTTCCATGGTCAGGTCAGCCGGAAGGGGGAGACCTTCCCCCGGGGCTCATCGGGGAAAGGGTTTCCCAGGCAGTACCAATAGCAGGTGCAAAGGCCTTGAGGTGGGAGTGAGTGTGACGTGTGGGGGACCTCCTGGGTCTATCTGCGGCATCTAGGGTTAAGTCCCTTAACCACTGGGAGCCTCGGTGGCTCTGTCTGCAAAATGAGATACAGTGCCTACTCCCAGCACCAGCAACGTGGGGCCTAGAGAGGGTGTGAGCTCTCCAAGGTCGTAGAGCGCTCGCCTCTTGTCTCCACCCGGGTTTTGGGAGATCCCGGACACGGGAGCTTCCCAGAGGCCATATGGTCTTACAGCCGCCGCCCGTGACCGAACCACCCAGCCGCCACGTGCCTTACGAGAAATTGAAGAGTCACGTGCGCCTAGGGGACTCCTCGCTGCTCGAACCGTTCCTCCAGACCCCCACGGGCACGGACTATTGCCCCCGTGGGACGCCAGAGAAGCCGCAGAAAGCGCCCAGTCTCCACTTGCTGCGTAGCAACCTGCCACGAGGCACCGACGGTGAGCGGGTTGGGGGGAGGGGCAGGGCTCCCTTCCCCGCCGCAGCTCTAACCCCGCCCCGGCCAGTTTCGCCCCGCCCACCGCCCGATTCTGGCTCCGCCTCCTGAAGAGCGAGATCCCACCCCAGGGACCGAGAGCCCAACTCTGACCCTGGACAACCCGCCCCTTCGTGGACTTGACTCCCCACCACCACCACCGTCTCCGCCACGGCACTGCCCCCTGCATGGCCGTAGGCCCGCCCCTCTCCATATCTGCCCTTTCCCGACTCTAACCCCTGCTCTTCTGTCAGGCTCTGGCTCCTCCCCCTCACCGACTAGCCCGCCCTGCCTTAGCCCTCACTAGTCTGCGCTTGCCACGCCCCTGGCTCCTCCCTCCGCCCCGCCTCCTAATCCATCTTCGCTCCAACTTCAGCGAGGGCTCAGGCTTCGCCCTGAAGTCCTACTCCATCCTTAATCTCGCACGTTCCTGCCCAGGGACCATGCCTCTCCTCCTTCAGCCCCTCAGCTCGACTACCCCCACCCCAAATCTCCAGAAACAGATTTTTTAACCATGAACCAGAAGATGCTGAAGCCTCATAGAACAGCTCCGGCCTCCGTGACTGAGGACATGCTACAGCGGGTGAGGGATGGGGAAGGGTACCTCCCTGACCACGTAACCCCCCAAATCAGTGTAGCTTTATCTCAGGATGATAATGCCGTCAGCTCAGGCCCAGAATTCGTATCAAGTCCTGTCAGGGTCTCTCTAGGGTGACCCCAGGCACAGGGTCATCTTAATGTCACCCCAGCCTCAAGGTCATCCCTAGCTCACCACCAGGGTAGTTAGTGGCAGGGCCAGCTCAAGGACACCTTTATATCACCAGCCACAGTTAAACCCCCAGCCGAGGGTTAGTTCGCAGTTGCCTGCGTCACCACAGTCCTGGGGTCATTCCGGGGGTCACCGGTTTCTCTCCGGCTCCTGGGTCAGCCCAAGCTGGGGCACCTTTTGCCCACCTCCTCAGAGCCCAGTCATCAGCCTTTGCTGCTCCTAGGGTCGTATGGGGGCCACGGGGTGGGCCAGGTAGGTCCGCCAGCCTCCAGGCTGTCCTGCCAGGCTGCCCACCCTGCCTCCACAGTGCAAGTACAGCCACATTGAGCCCCCGCTGGGCAGACAGCGCTTCTTCTCAACCCAATACGAGCATGAGTTTCCCTCCAAGTACCAGGGCCCAGCAGTGCTGAGATTGGTCAATCTGCAGGACAGCCATGTGCCTCTGGGCTCCCCTCGTCAGTGGGGCTGTGGGGCGGGTAAGGCAGACCCTCGGGCCCCCCAGGCCCCCACCTACCCATGCCCTAGACAGCAATAAACAGTGTCTTGGCAGCATCCCACCCCGCCCTCCATCAGTCAGCCATGAAAGAGGATGCTTCGTGGGTTGGGGACGGTACAGGAGAGAGTGACTCCATCAAATAACCCTGAACAGACACTTCCACGGGCCCTGAAGATCGCCCCACTCTGGGCAAGGAGGCCATCCCAGCTTGTGCAAAGCCTTGGCTGTTGGACTCAGTGTAAGGTGTTCAGGTGCACCAACAAATCTGAACGATGTGAAGAGAGGAGTCATAGCGTCGAACAGGGCAGTGTGGTGAAGGGCTAAGAACACAGATTCCTAGGGCTGAATGGACAGAGTCCAAATCTTAACTCCTCTGTCCTGGATAGTAGTCTTAGGCAAGGCGCTTAACCCCTCTGAGCCTCATCCGTTTGCTCATCTGTAAAGTGGAGATGAGTGGTAGCTCTCTCAGAGTGTTGTAAATGAGAAATGTACACACTTCAGTGTGTGTGGCTGGGGGTCAAGGAGGGAGAGAGCACTTCCCTTCTGAGCATGAAGGTATGGAGGAAAGAGGAAGATGAGGGTATGGGAAGGAGGCTTCAATCACTGAGAGAGGGGGTGGGGTTCGGGGGGGGGAGACTGAGGGGGTGGAGAGGCTGAGAGTGACCCAGCAATCTCCTCCACTGTGGGTGAAAGCTGGAAGCTCAACCGTGTGCGGGCTGGCTAAGCAGCTAGTCAGAGCTGGGTCCAGGGACAAATCAACAAAAGCCATCATGATATGATCAAGTCGAAGGGAATAGGTGTCCAGCCAGGGACGAAATGAAAAGGGTGGAAAGGAGGAGGAGGGGATGGAGCTCCATCACTGATGGGGCTTGACGAGCATATCAACAAATGGTACCTTGGACAGCGCCCCCATCTTGAAGGTCTGGGTGTGGTGAGATTGGCTCTGTCCAGGATAAAATGGGCCTCAGTGGCCATGCCCAGGGACTGCTTCTGTGGGCTGTTGGGAATCTGGTTTCAGGGAATGAACATGGCTCCCTGACTCCATCCCTGACTCTGTAATCAGACCTTCAAAGACCAAAGCCTCCTGAGCCACCAAGAGCCAAGCTCAAGCCCGGCCAGGAGCCCTTTCCCCCTGGGCAGCAATTCTGTGAGGCCAGGTTGTCATTTCCACAGGAAGAACAGGAGTCCAGCTTTGGGTCCCACAGAATAAGATGGCCCTTTTGGCTGCTCTCCGATTATCTATACAAGGGTCTGCTAGCTGCAAAGCACCTCTTCTGTTTGCTTCCACTAAAAATCTACATGACACACTTCTGAATTACCTCATGATCAATCAGGATTTCTCAATCCCAGTACTACTGACATTTTGGATGGGATCATTCTTTATTGTCAGAGGCCCTCCTGTGCACGTAGGATGTTTAGCATCATCCCTGACCTCTAATCACCATATGCCAATAGCATCCTCCCTTTACCCCAGCCAGCTGTGACAACCAAAAATATCTCCGGGCATTGCCAAATGTCCCCTGGGGGGGCAAGAGTTGCCCTGCTTGAGAACCACTGCAATAAACCCATCCTGCAGTGATCCCCAGGACAAAATCAGACTCTCCTGGTAAAGCTGGTCTGTTTGTTGATCACACTACTCTTAACTAAAGGACTTTTCCTTTTTGCCTTGCCTGCCAGGAAGCTCAGAAAGCTTACTTTGGTATTCATTTCCATGTAGCTCTGATTGCAGGAAAATGTGTGCTCCTGCTTGGTTCTAAGAATGGTTTAAAGCACCCAGACACCAGATGAAAAATAATGGGTAGGAGTTCCAAGGAGGCAGATTTATTTCTGCACAAATTGAAGGATTTTCTTTTCTTTTTTTTTTTTAAGATTTTATTTATTTATTTGACAGAGATAGAGAGAGAGCACAAGTAGGCAGAGAGGCAGGCAGAGGGAGTGGAAGAAGCAGGCTCTCCGCTGAGCAGGGAGCCTGATTCAGGACTCGATTCCTGGACCCTGGGATCATGACCTGAGCTGAAGGCAGCCGCTTAATCAACTGAGCCACCCAGGGGCTCAAATTGAAGAATTTTCTAACAGTGGAACTGACAAGCCCCAGGATGGTTGCTAGAAAAGAACAGGAGCTTTACTAGAAATATTTTTAGTGCAGAAAGATACTTCATCATGATTTGGGAGGTATTCTATGGATTTATGTCTATCCCTCCCTATATTCCACTCACCCTTCCCCACACCAAAAAAGGCATTTCATACCAACTACAAAAACCCAAAAGGCTTATAGACCAAGATGAATAAAGTAGGATTGTACATGGGAGAACAGATTAATTTTTAAAGGAAAACATCATGGAGCAGCAGAATTCAGACCTGCCACTTCCTTGTCTTTCTGTCCTTAGGCAAGTGATGCCATGATCTGCCCCCTCTTTCCTTGTGCATAAAATGGGGCTGGCAACAGTTCTCACTTCATGAAGTGGGTACAAGCTTTATTTATTTATTTTTTATTTATTTATTTATTATTTATTTATTTGCGAGAGAGAATGAGAGACAGAGAGCACGAGAGGGAGGAGGGTCAGAGGGAGAAGCAGACTCCCTGCTGAGCAGGGAGCCCGATGTGGGACTCTATCCCGATGTGGGACTCGATCCCGGGACTCCAGGATCATGACCTGAGCCGAAGGCAGTTGCTTAACCAACTGAGCCACCCAGGCACCCTGGGTACAAGGTTTAAAATGCACATGTGCCATTCTTAGAACAGAGCCTAGTATTTGGCTGCAGCTTGGTGACAGGTGCCCCTATTTTTTAATGTCTTAGGTCATTTTTGTTGCAAGTGATGGAAACCTGGCTTGCTCTAGCTCAAGTAGAAAGGGATTTTTTTTTAAAGATTTTATTTATTTATTTGAGAGAGAGAGAATGAGAGATAGAGAGCACGAGAGGGAAGAAGGTCAGAGGGAGAAGCAGACTCCCTGCTGAGCAGGGAGCCCGATGTGGGACTCGATCCTGGGACTCCAGGATCATGACCTGAGCCAAAGGCAGTCGCTTAACCCACTGAGCCACCCAGGTGCCCTAGAAAGGGATTTTTATTGACTTTGTTACAAAGAAAACCACACACCCCAAACGGTGTTACTTGGGCCAGGATAAGTCACCAAACCAAGGGTTAATACCTAACCTAATTGCAGTTTCAACCTCCCCCAGAAATGTAAGTCTTAATCTACCAATTGGAAAATTTTTTTTTATAAGCACCAATAAGGTAATCTGTCATATGGGCCTTCTTCATGGACAGAAGATGAGGTAATCCACCTAATAAGATCCCCTACCCTTCCCCTAAGGGAAAGTGACTTTGCCTGGAACAATTCTTTTCTTTTGCCTATAATTTTCTTGCCCTAGCCCCCTTCCTATAAAAACCTTCCAATTTGTACAACTCCTCAGGGTGCCCCTCTATGTGTTAGAAGGGATGCTACCTGATTCATAAATCTTTTTAAGATTTTATTTGTTTGAGAGAGAGAGAGTGTGTGCAAGCAGTGAGCACGGGGGTGAGGTGGGTTGGGGTAAGGGCAGAGGGAGAAGGGAGCAGGCTCCCCGCTGAGCAGGGAGCCCAGCGTTGGACTTGATCCCAGGATCATGACCTGAGCTGAAGGCAGATGCTTAACCAACTGAGCCACCCAGGCACCCCCATGAGCCATTCAATAAAGCCAATTAGATCTTCCAATTTATTTGGATGAATTCTGTTATTTTATAACTTAGAAATAAGAAAATCTGGAATCTACCTCACCACCTTGCAATCCTGTGTCCCTCCAAGCGGTGGCCAAAAAAAGAGAATGCTAGCAATCCAAATACTCTTGATTAAAGCCTCAAAGGAAGGAGAGGGTCTTGCCCCAACTCCTCGTCTTGGAACTTAAAGGACACTCTGATTGGCCCACTTGCATCTGCCCAGCCATGAACCAGTCATTGTGCCCAGAGGGATAGAATGCTATGATTGGATGGCCCAGCTCACAAGCCCACCCCTGGGTGATTTGGTTCCCCAAACCTCACCAGGATCTTTGATCCTGGAGCCCAACCTTGCTGGACCCTGTCTCCTAGCAACAGATCTGTGCCTGCCCATCCCCTTAGCATCTCTTTTGCCCCCGGTTACAATCTGGAGGGTGGAAAGATAGCTAACAGGCTCTTCCCAATGGAGGGTAATTGTATGTTTATGGACAGGGAGTGTTCAGTGTTACAGAGTAGCCTGGGGCATCAAGTGCCCCCTAGTTCTCCAACAATCCCAGTCTTATCTCTCACCCCATTACTAATTTCCTCCTCTAGTTTGGGGCAGAGAATTCAGCTCCCGCAATCACAAAATCAAGCAGATGCTAGTCTCTGCGGCAAGAAGTACATAGGCAGCCTGTGTCTGTCTAGGGAGACCTTGATGAAGGTGCCCAAACATTTCAACATCCTGCTATTTTTCTCCAAAGCCCCTCAAACCACAGTCTCAAGAAACACGTGGTTAGAGTCCCAAGATAAAATAGGCAAGATTTTTTTTTAAGATTTTATTTATTTATTTATTTGACAGAGAGAGAGAGAGAGACAGCGAGAGAGGGAACACAAGCAGGGCGGGGTGGGAGAGGGAGAAGCAGGCTTCCCGTGGAGCAGGGAGCCCGATGCGGGGCTTGAGACAAGGACCCTGGGATCATGACCTGAGCTGAAGGCAGACGCTTAACGACTGGGCCACCCAGGTGCCCCAGGAAGCAAGATTTTAATCAGCTTATTTTTCTACCGCATAACAGAAATTTCTTGTTTCTTGAGGAAGGCTCTTCTCAGGGCAGACTGTATGCACCTCATCAATCTAGGGAGTCCCATTCACTTTGTAGTGAATATATGTGTCTGTGGTGGCCCTGCCCCTCTACCTCACTTTGCTCTGCCAATTCCACATTTTAGGTTACTTCCCACAATACCCTTCCTCTTCCAGGTACTAATTCTAAATTAGTCAAGACTGTCATCGATTCAAGGGACAGAAACCCACCCCATGCCCAGGAAATGTGTTGGCTCATGGTATTGGAAAGAATGAGGGCTTTTGGCCTCAGGTATGGCCATATTCAGGAGCTCAGCCAATGTAGACGGAACTTTCTCTTCAACTCTCACTATACATCCTGGTGTAGATTGGCTTCAGTCTGCATGCAGACTGTTCTTCCTGACAAGTGGGGAAGGGGGCTGCAGGTAGGACGGGGGCCTATATACGGCTTATGATCCCAGAGGAAAAATGAGACCGTCCAATGTCATGTCCTCCAACTTAATTATTGTGGCCAGGAGATGGGATTCTCTGATTGGTACGTTTAGGCTGAGTGATACTGGGGGGCTGTGTTAGGTTGGAGTAGCGGAGAAGGATCCACAAAGGGAAAGCAAGGTGCTGAAAGAGATACTTAGCAGACAGGGGAGCCTGGGTGGCTCAGCTGGGTAAGCTTCTGACTCTTGATTTCAGCTCAGGTCATGATCTCAAGGTCATGAGATGGAGCCTCACATCGAGCCCCACGTGGGGATCCGTGCTCAGCGCGGAGTCTGTTTGAGATTCTCTCTCTCCTCCTGACCCCCCTTCTAAAATAATAAATAAATCTTAAAAAAAAAAAAAAAAGATACTTAGCAGACAGAAACAACACTGTCATCACAAGCATTATTTGCTATGGGATCCTCCAGGAGGTGGCAGGATGAGGAACCCCCGACATAATCCAATTTCAGTCTCAGATCTCTCAGATCTGCTGAGGGCTTTTCCACAGAAAGGTGGAAAGCCAGTTTCAGACCTTGAGCTCAGCACAGATCTAGAAGGTTCAGGAAAGAAGAGAGAAGACTCCTGGAGGCCTGATTTGCTTGAGGTTATATTCAAGGGTAGGTGGTGTGTCAAAATTCACACAAAGACCATCAGAAATACAGCTGTAGTCAAAAAAGTTTTTTTAGCTCGCTAAAAAGGGAAGATCAGACACCAGGAACCATGGGTACCTCCCTAAGAGGGTGTTGGGGGACAGGAGGGCACCTTATAGGACTCAGGCATGTGGGGTGGGGGGTAGTTTTAAAGAGAGTTGAAGAGAGTAGAAGCAATTCTCGGTTGGTGCCGTCGGGAAGCAGGGAGCGGATTGGTGACTGGGTATTTTGGTGATTTTTATCTCCGAAGTGGGAGGATGGACGGGGAGCTGTCGTTGGTAAGAGGCGGTAGCCATCGCGTTAGTCCGGGCGAGGAGGGTGTGTATTCATTTTTGTGGTTGCAGAGTGTCCTTGTCTCTGGCTCGGTTCAGACGTGGTCACAGAGCGGCCTTGTGTGGTCATTGTTTATATTCTGTGACTGTTGTTTATGCTCAGTGAAGAACATCACGGCCCAGCTGGCAGCTGCCAGGGCTGGTTTTCAATCCCTCTTTGCGGGGATCTGTGCCTCCAGGTAAAGTCTGCCCAGAGTCCTTCCCCACTTTGGCCTAGGCTTCTCCAGAGATCATCACTCCAGTGGGCATCAGACACAGGGAGTCCACCAGTGACATCAGTGAGTGACCTATCAGCCGGACAGCAGGAGGAAAACACTCAGGGACAGGGCCCCCAACACTCTTCCTTGGGGAGTCTTACAGGGGGACGCTGGATTGAGCAAAGATTAACAGCTTTGTAAATTGCAGGGCTTCTCGGAGCCTTGGCTTTGCTTATGTGCCCTGCCCGTTGGGCAGAGAGATAGAAGGTTTGGTGCTTTTTGAACAAAGATAAGAGTCGGAGACACGGGCACGAGGCAGAGACAGAGACAGAGGAGGCCAGAAACAAGGAGAGACAGACGGGCAGAGGCAGGAAAAGTGACAGGGACAGAGGCAAAGAGACTGAAACGGGGAGGGCCGCAGAAATAGAGGGGCAGAGACAGAAAGGAACAGAGCTAGGCGCCGAGAGGGCAACAGAGATGCAGAGAGAGACCGGGGCAGGGGGAGACCGCGGCAGGGGCCGAAGCACGCGGGGGCCGGGAGGGACAGCGAGGGCCTGAGGCGCCGGGCCGCGGCGGGCCGGGGCAAGGGCAGCGCGGGAGGCCGCGGCGCAAACAAAGGCGCGGCCGCGCGGCCGGGGCGGCCGGGCCGGGACAAAGGCTGGCCCGGGGGGCGGGGGCAGCGATGGCGACGGCCGCGGCGGGCGCGGGCGAACTACAAGTCCCAGCAGCTCCCGCTGCGGCCCTCGGCCGGCCCCTCTCGCTCCCCGGGAGCGCCTGGCGGGGCCGCTGGGCCGAGGGGGCCGCCGGCGGGGCTGGCGGGCGGGGGGCTTCCTGCGGGCCCCGGGGGCGCGGCGGGCCGGGCAGGGGCAAGGGGCGCCGGGTGAGTGTCCCCGCGAGCGGGCCGGGCGGGCGGGGGCCGGGGCCGGGGCCGGGGCGGGGGCGGGTGCGGGGCGCGGCCCGGGGCGACCTCTGTCTGCCGCCCCCCTCCCCGCCCGCGCGCCGCCCGCCCGCCCGGCCCGGGAGAGCAGGGTCGCGGGCGTGAGGGGAGGGGGGGTCCCCCCGCGGCCCGCGGGCCTAGCGCGCCCTTTCCGCCGCCGCGGCCCCGGGGGGAGGAGGGCCCAGCCCGAGTTGGGCGCCTGAAATCGGGGAGGTATGGGGGGGGCACCCCTCAGCTGTGGGGTCGGGAGCTCAGAACGCCTCCTCCCCTGGAGGCGATCCAGACCCTCTCTATCCCAGGAACCCTGGAGGACGCCTAAGTATTGTTCTCCCCACCCTCCAGCCTGAGGTTGGGAGTTCAGGAGGCCCTTCCTCAGGAGGGGGATCCGGGGTACCCTCTGACCCCCTGGAGCCCAGTTATTGTTCCCCTCACTCTCCAGTCTTGGGGTCCAGAGTTCTGGAAACCCCTTCCCAGGAGGTGATCCAGGGGTCCACCTGCCCCCTCCCCCCAGGAACTCAGTTCTCCTCCCCCCTTCCAGCTAAGAGTTGAGAGTTTGGAAGGCCCCTTCCTCCGGAGGCCATCCAAAGTTTCTCCTGCCCCCCCCCCAGAAACCCAGGAGGGGACCCAAGCATTGTTTCCCCCGCACCCTTCAAATGTGGTGTCTCCGTTGAGGAGGTGATCTAAGAACTCCACCCTCTCCATTTGCTTAGCCACTTGGAGCTGTGGGGTTGTGGTTCTGGATGTCCCTCTCCCCAGGAGAGCCAGAGGCCCCCCCCATCCCTCCCTCCAGGAACAGATCTGTTTGTTTGCTCCCCAACCCACAGGCCATGGGGTGGATAGCTCAAGACATCACCTCCCCATCAGGTAATCCTGAACTCCCTCTGCTCCGCAGAAGGGCTCCCAGCAATGGTTTCTCCACCCTGCTTCCAACCTCCAGGTATGGGGCTGGAATTCAGGATCTTTTCTCCAGGAGGAGACCAGAAATGTATCCTGACACTTGACCTCAGCCTTGGGATCAGTTAGTTACTCAGGAATCTCCCTTTCCTAGGAGATGACCCAGGAGCCCCTCAGTAACCCCACAGGGGCCCCAAGGATTATTTTTGCCCCCACCTAGGGATTAGAATTCAGGATCTGCTATACAACTGGGCAAACGGGTACAACACCTGTCCCTACTCACCTGGCTAAGGGTCCATGGGTCTCTCTGTGCCCCAGTGGGTCCCACCTTACCCCCCCCCCAGCTTTAGGAACTGGCATTTGGATACACAGGTGTTTTGACAGTTATTCCCACCCCTGAACTGTGAGGTCTGGCATTCCAGTCACTTCTTCCCCAGCAAGCAAGCCAGAGGTGCCCCTGCCCTACCTCAATGATGCAAGGGGAGTACCAGATGTTGTCCCCCCCATCCCCCAGATATAAGCTTCAGAGCTCAGGATGCTTCCTCTCTATGAGGCAAGCCAGAGGTTGCCCTTGCTACTAGGAACCCCCAAATATGTCATCCCCGACTACGGGACAGGAATTCAGGCCATGTACTTGGAGCAAGCACAGGAACCCAGGCACTCATCCTCTTCCCCATGAGGGGACCCCAGTCAAGCAGGTAGGAACCCTGGACTCTCTCTCCTCCACAGGACCCAAGCTTCCCACGGGAGGAGGAGCCCAAGATGGAGAGAGGGGCAGAGCCCTGGAGCTGGGTACTGGAGACCTCTAGTGCCGGGTCCCATGACTTCCATCCAGGTGTGGTGCTGAGAAGGGAAGGTTCCCCCCACCCCACCCCACCCTCCATGTCCCACCAGGGTCCCTCTTCTCCCTGCCCTGGCTGGAGCGCATCACAAGTCTCCCTGCGATCTGAGACAAGGGCAGGATCCATGTGTGTATTCAGGAGTGGGTTTTGGGCCATGGCATGGCCCCCTCTCACTTCCCTCCCCATCCAAAAGAGACCCCCTGGCCTCCAGAACCTACCCTCCACTCACCCTCTGTCCCCACCCTGCAGATCCTGCCCCAGAAGCAGCCAGCACTTCCACACCAGGGATGCGGCGCTCGGTCCTGGTCAGGAACCCAGGCCACAAAGGCCCGAGGCCCACTTATGAAGAGCTTGACTCCGACTCAGAGGACCTGGACCCCAACCCTGAAGAGCTGGACCCAGTTTGTGAAGACCCAGAGCCTGACCCAGAAGACCTCAACACTGTCTCTGAGGATGTGGACCCCAGCTATGAAGATCTGGAGCCCGTCTCTGAGGATCTGGGCCCCGACGCCGAAGCTCCGAGCTCCATCTCAGCCACCCGAGACTCGGATCCCCAAGATCTCGACCCCATGTCCTCAAGTTTCGACCTCGATCCAGACGTCATTGGCCCTGTCCCCCTGGTTCTTGACCCTAACAACGACACCCTCAGCCCCACCGAGTCCCCAGACCTGGACCCCCTCTCATCCAGCCTCACTGCCACTCCCGAGGTCCTGGCCCCCAGTCCCGCGGTGCTCCCTGCACCTGCCAGCCCTCCCCGGCCCTTCTCCTGCCCCGACTGCGGGCGAGCCTTCCGCCGCAGCTCGGGGCTGAGCCAGCACCGCCGCACCCACAGCGGCGAGAAGCCGTACCGCTGCCCCGACTGCGGCAAGTCGTTCAGCCACGGCGCCACGCTGGCCCAGCACCGCGGCATCCACACGGGCGCGCGGCCCTACCAGTGTGCCGCCTGCGGCAAAGCCTTCGGCTGGCGCTCCACGCTGCTGAAGCACCGCAGCAGCCACAGCGGCGAGAAGCCGCACCACTGCCCGGTGTGCGGCAAGGCCTTCGGGCACGGCTCGCTGCTGGCGCAGCACCTGCGCACGCACGGCGGCCCGCGGCCGCACAAGTGCCCCGTGTGCGCCAAGGGCTTCGGGCAGGGCTCGGCGCTGCTGAAGCACCTGCGCACGCACACCGGCGAGCGGCCGTACCCGTGCCCGCAGTGTGGCAAGGCCTTCGGCCAGAGCTCGGCGCTGCTGCAGCACCAGCGCACGCACACGGCCGAGCGCCCGTACCGCTGTCCGCACTGCGGGAAGGCCTTCGGCCAGAGCTCCAACTTGCAGCACCACCTGCGCATCCACACGGGCGAGCGGCCCTACGCCTGTCCCCACTGCTCCAAGGCCTTCGGCCAGAGCTCCGCGCTGCTGCAGCACCTGCACGTGCATTCCGGAGAGCGCCCCTACCGCTGCCAGCTCTGCGGCAAGGCCTTTGGCCAAGCCTCCAGCCTCACCAAGCACAAGCGGGTGCATGAGGGCGCGGCTGCGGCCGCCGCCGCCGCGGCCGCTGCCGCCGCCGCCGCCGCGGGCCTCGGCCTCAGTCCTGCCTCCATGTTGAGGCCAGGGCAGGTCTCCCTCCTGGGTCCTGATGCTGTCTCTGTTCTCGGCTCTGGCCTGGGCCTCAGCCCTGGCCCCAGCTCTGGCCTGGGCTCTGACCCTGGCTCCGTGGTGGGCTCCTTCCCTAATCCCAGCCCCAAAGCTGTCTCTGGCTCTGAATCTACCCCCACCCCTGATTCTGTCAAATCTGACCCTAAGCCTGGTCCCGACGCCAATCCTGACGTCGTGGCCAGCCCTGAGCAAGGATCCGGTCCCAGCCCTGACCAGGATCCCGTGCCCAGCCCCGACCCCAACCCTGAGTCTCACCCTGACCCCTGCTCTCCCACCCATGATACTGTCAGTCCGGCCATCCCTACTGGCGAGAGTCCTGAGTGGGTGCAGGAGCAAGGGGCACTGCTGGGGCCCGATGGCTGAAGTGGACGCCAACACTCATGGGGGGCCTGGGGAAGTTGTGTGTCATGCAGTTTAGTAAAATCCTCCCACTGCCTCCTGGCTCTGTGTTGTGTGGCTTGCCTGTTTCTCTTTCCTCTAATGCACAGCCCCTTCCTCAGGAGATGGGAGGGTGTGGCCGGTGCCAGCAATAGCTGGAACCCCAACGTCCTGGCTCCGCCCTAATCCTCCAGGCTTCCCAGTTCCCCCACAAGGTCTCACACTGGTCCCTCCCAGCAGTTACCACTCTGCTCCCCCAGTCCTGGCCACCCTAGTCATGGGCAGACTTCCCCTGCAGGTGGTCTGAGCAGGATCCCTTCCCTTTGGCTTTTCTATGAGTGGTGGAATTTCTGGCATGTTCACAGTCTAGTGGGCTGATAATGGAGACTGATATGAGACCCTGCAGGCAGCCCTACCCATCTGCTCACATAACCTACCCCTTGTCCTTCACAGCCCAGGTTATAGGCACAGCACTGGACAGAAGAGGTAGTCATTTTTTTTTTTTAAAGATTTTTTTATTTATTTGAGAGAGAGAGAGAGAATGAGAGATAGAAAGCGGGAGAGGGAAGAGGGTCAGAGGGAGAAGCAGACTCCCCGCTGAGCAGGAAGCCCGATGTGGGACTCGATCCCGGGACTCCAGGATCATGACCTGAGCCGAAGGCAGTCGCTTAACCAACTGAGCCACCCAGGCGCCCAGAAGAGGTGGTCATTTATGTGCTGAACAAAAATATGTTGATTGCTGGGGCCTCAGCCGGTGACAAGATAAGCACAGCCTTTACAGAACTCACAGATGCCAAACTCAGGAACATTTATGAAGTAGTTACAGGGTATATAGTTCATTCTAAGAGACGCATAACAAGACTTTTTTTCCCCACACACATCAGACAGGTAATGTGCTGAGGAGGTAACAAGGTTTGGGAGAGACACATCTCATAACAGCATGAATGTTCAGTCATCACGCTCAAGGTCCACAAAAGGATCAAGACCTCTGATTTAGGTGGGGGGACTACTTTCCCAAGGAAGGATTCCATAATCCCAATAACCACTACTTTAATCGTCAGTACTGTTTGCCCAGCCTTGTGCCGTGCTCTTGCATTTTGTGCTCTTGCGTTTTCTTAATTCAACAGCTCCAAGAGGCAGGTAACTATGACTAAGTATCCCCATTTTGCAAAAGAGTAAACGTGGAGTTTAAGGGACCTTTTTTTTTTTTAAATAAAGACTTTATTTGTGAGAGACAGAGAGAGCACAAGCAGGGGGAGCGGCAGGCAGAGGGAAAAGCAGCCTCCCCATGAAGTAAGGAGCCCGATGGGGGACTCGATCCCAGGACCCTGGGATCATGACCCAAGCCAAAGGCAGACGCTTCACCAACGGAGCCACCCAGGCATCCCTTGAGCCACCCAGGCATCCCTAAGGCATGTATAGGAGCCACCCAGGCATCCCTTGAGCCACCCAGGCATCCCTAAGGGATGTATAGGTGGCAGTTGGCCGGGCCTAGATTTAATCTAAACTGCCTGTTCTCCAGAGTTTGCGTAATTAAACCAGCATTCTTTTCAAAGCAAGAGTGCAAAGGCCCTGGGGCCCTTGAGCGGTAAGCCAGGGGAGATTGGGGGCCGGAACAGAGGGCTCTGGTAGACTGAGGTCAGAGTTCGCTTGTCATCCCAGAGCAATGGGAAGACAGCAGGTTGTGGCAGAGGGCCGATAGGAACCACTCTTGGAAAATGCTTCTGGCTGCTGCCTGGGGAGTGTAACAGGAGAGGGTCAGGAGTGGGAGCCTCAGGTCAGGGAGGAGGTTGCTGCACAGGTGCGGGCCAGGAATGATGGGGGACTCTGGGCTGAGGGCCACAGGAGTGGGGATGAGTTGGTCCTATTTGGGACATACTTAGGAAATGGAGTAGGATTTGCTGACAGTTCAGACGAGAGGTGCAGAAGCGGGAGAGTTGAGAGTAACACGGGGTTTCTGGGAGGATGGAGAGGCAGCCATGAGACAGGACGTATGGTCATCACCGGACTTTGCGGAGGGTAAGGGGTCAAGCATGAATATGGAACTCAGGAATTTGGCACGGGACGCGGGCAGGACAGGGAGCCCGGGCCGAGCCGGCCCTACGCCGGCGCTCTCACAGCCAGCCCATCCCCCAGCACATCGATCGCCCGCGGGCGTTAGGACCTCAGGGCCGTCCTCCGCCCGCAAGGAGCTAGTTGAGGCCCGCATGCGTGCTGCGGCAGCCGGGACTGTCGTGGCGCAGGGGGTGGGCCGGGATCCGGTCACGTGCGCTCCCCGGGGGCGCTCTGGTCACGTGACCGCGGCGGGCGTCAGCTGACGCGAGAGGGTTTGAAGCGGCGCCGCGAGGGAGCGAGGCCGCTGCAGCCGCGCGGCGGGCGCCCGGACCCCGGCTGCCCGGCCGCGCCCGGCGGCGTCCGGCGCTCCCCGCCCCGGCATGGCGGCCCCCGTGGGCCGGCGGGGCTCAGGTGAGGGCGCGCGCGGCCCCGCGGGACCCCGAACGCGAGCGGCGGGCGGGCGGCCGGCTCCCCGGACCTGGGGCGGCGGAGCTCCCGGTTTCCTTTGCCTAAACTCTGGTGCTGACCTCTCAGCGTCCCGGTGGTGGAGATGGGGACAGATGGCTCCGAGAACCTGGGCGGCAGGTGGGCGCCCGCTCCTCCGACCTTGGAGTTGGCGGGACTCCTGTGTGCTCTTCCTGGACCCAGGTTCTGCTCAGAGTTCCTAAACTCAGGCAGCGGGTGGGCCGCCAGCGTCTCCAACCTAGGTCCTGGAGGTGTCCGGGGTTTGCGTTCTGAGCGTAGTTCCGCTTGCTCAGCGTTGCTGGAACTCAGTGGGCACCGGCTTCTCCAACCCTCACGTGCAACTCCCAGGATTCCCTTCCCCAATTCTTTTTTTTTTTTAACTTTTTTTTTTAAAGATTTTATTTATTTATTTGAGAGAGAGAGAAAGAGAGAGAAAGCACATGGGGGGGGAGGGTCAGAGGGAGAAGCAGACTCCCTGCCAAGCAGGGAGCCCGATGCAGGACTCGATCCCGGGACTCCAGGATCATGACCTGAGCCGAAGGCAGTCGCTTAACCAACTGAGCCACCCAGGCGCCCTTCCCTTCCCCAGTTTTTTTTTTTTTTTTTTAAGACCTTATTTATTTATTCATGAGAGACAGAGAGAGAGAGAGAGAGAGAGAGAGAGGCAGAGGGAGAAGCAGGCTCCCGAGGAGCAGGGAGCCCGATGCGGGACCCGATCCCAGGACCCTGGGATCATGACCTGAGCCGAAGGCAGACGCCCAACCATCTGAGCCACCCAGGCGCCCTCCCTTCCCCAATTCTTGAGGCAATGCTCAGCTTCTCTAAACTCAGATAGAGGGCTGGGAGGCCGGGGGGAGTTACCTCCTTGAACCCAGGCGCCTAACTTGATCTCATGAGTCCAAACCTGTGGAAGCTCAGTTTTCTTGAACTCAAGCGGTGGAAACCCAGCCTCCAGTCTCTTCAGCCTCTGCTTCTCATGGGGGAGCCTGGAGGAAGACTCTTTGTGTTGGTCTTCCTTTCTTGAGCTAGCTGGAGATACCTGAAACCTGTCCCTGCTGGTAGGATCTGGGGTGGGTTAACTGGGATCCCAGCTAGGGAGGCGGGCCTGCCCTCTGGTTCCCATCCAGCTATCTCGTAAACAACCACAACAGCATCCAGGCTCCAGAGGACAGGCCAGGAGCTGACCCTCCCAGCAGGACAGGTTCTGACAGTGCTCACATTCGTCCTGGCAGCTGTGTCAGGCAGGCGCGGGCCAGGCCCAGGAAAGAAGCAGGATTCTCTGGTGGGGGTGTGTCAGGGACGCTTCTGGGCTGCTGTGACCAGCTGGGACCCCAGCAGTTGATGAAACCTTGGACCTTTCTCTTCGGTGGTTCAGGAGTGAAGAGAATAAGTAGTGTTAAGAATAAACCCTATTTTCTAAAGAATTACCAAGACTTGGAGGCTGAACTGAGGCTTTTATCTGCTTTATCCCGCTTCATTCAGAGAACACCTTTCAGAATTTCAACCTCAGGGTAGATTTTTTTTTTTAAGATTTTATTTATTTATTTATTTTTTAAAAGATTTTATTTATTTATTTGAGAGAGAGAGAATGAGAGATAGCATGAGAGGGAAGAGGGTCAGAGGGAGAAGCAGACTCCCCGCCGAGCAGGGAGCCCGATGCGGGACTCGATCCCGGGACTCCAGGATCATGACCCGAGCCGAAGGCAGTCCATTAACCAACTGAGCCACCCAGGAGCCCCAAGATTTTATTTTTAAGTAATCTCTACACCCAAGGTGGGGCTCAAGATCAAGAGTTGCATGCCTTTCCCACTCAACCAGCCAGGCGCCCCGTCTGGGTAGACTTTTTATTTCCACTTTTCAAATGAGAAGATGGAGGCTTTGAAAGATGACCAGGGTCCCCCCAACTGGGAAGGGGAGGGGGGAGGTCTGGGATTTGGTTCTAGGGCTGTGAGAGTTCCAGAAGCTGGTGCCCTTCATGAAGATGCTATATTAGCTCATGAACTAACATACGGGCAGTGTGGTAATAACACCCACTGGTGTGCAGTGAGTCTTCAGCAAATATGTTCTGTTACTGTTACTGTTGTTGTCGATCTCCCCTTCTCTGGGCCTGGGGCTTGTGAGGGTGTCAACTGGATGGGCCAGGTCATGATGAGTGGAAAAATCCTTCTTCGGGTGTTTGACCAGAAAAAAACTGGAATGTAGCTGAGCTCCATGCTCATGCCTGGAGGCTGGAGTTGAGATGAGCTCTCGAGCCTTGAGTGCCCTGTGGGAAGCCAGTGGAAGCAATTCATTCTCTTCCCAAAATCCACAAATGGAACAATGATGGAATGTTCTGACATTCTTAACCACAAGCCAGCCCCTGTGATAAATGTTTTGTAAGCATCAAATCCTCAGCTTCCTGGTGAGAGGTGTTTTTGCCCCGTTCGAGAACGCTGAGGCTCAGGGCGGAGTGCCCTGCCCAAGCCAGTGAGAAGCAGGGTCAGGAATCAGCTCAGGCCCTTTTGAGCCCCAAATCCAAATATGTAACCTCTGATAGGACTGCT